GAGAAAACAGGTATTTAAAGAACGAACGAAAAATGAACCTAACAATTTAATAATTCAATTCTTTTTTCTCATCATCATCATCATCATTATTAATGAATTTAGTTTTGGGTAAGTTTTGTTTGTTTTGGTTGTTGTTTGTTAAAAGAAACATTTTAAAAAAGCTCAAAATTGAATCAAAAAAATTAATGACGTAATATATTGTACTATAAACAAATTTTCTAATCTTAATTTAGAACCAAGAAATTGTTTGCTTGTTTTTCCAGAAACTTTCTTACGAACACACAAGGAAATACAGTCAAATTGATGATGTTGGTCACCAATATTGTTTTTTTGTTTGTTCTATATTTACATAATTATAATTGTTTGTTTGTTTGTTTTTCAAGCCAATTCAAGTCAAAATAGTCCCCCACCCCCAAAAAAAACATGCTTATTTTCAACAACCAAATAGAATATATCCGATAATCCGATATTTTTTGCTTTGTTTTTCATTTCATAATTTCAAATCTAATCAAGAGAGAGAGAGATTCAGAAATGAATCTTTTTAAGATTTAAATCCCCTCATAAAATCTCTCTCACTCGCATATTGGCTTCGAATTCAATTTTGATACAATTTTTTTTTTGCTGTTTTGTTTTGTTTTGTCACTTGATCCATATTTTATTATTAATCACAGAGTCAGTCAGTCAGTCACTCAGTAAATAAAGAGGGAAAACGAATTATTCCAACAAAAACAAACAAAAAATTCATTAAAATTAATAAACATCGACGTCGACGACGACGTACTTTTTTGTTGTTTTTTCTTCCAAAGAATCTCAAAAAAAAAAAAACAACAANGAGAAAACAGGTATTTAAAGAACGAACGAAAAATGAACCTAACAATTTAATAATTCAATTCTTTTTTCTCATCATTATCATCATCATTAATTTAGTTTTGGGTAAGTTTTGTTTGTTTTGGTTGTTGTTAAAAGAAACATTTTAAAAAGCTCAAAATTGAATCAAAAAAAATTAATGACGTAAGATATATGTACTGTAAACAGATTTTCTAATCTTAATTTAGAACCAAGAAATTATTTGTTTGCTTGTTTTTCCAGAAACTTTCTTCAACACACTCACACACACAAGGAAATACAATCAAATTGATGATGTTGGTCACCAATATTGTTTTTGTTTTGTTTGTTTGTTTGTTCTATATTTACATAATGACAATTGTTTGTTTGTTTGTTTTTCAAGTCAAAATAGTCCCCCTCCAAAAAAAAGTAACATGCTTATTTTCAACAACCAAAATAGAATATATCCGATAATCCGATATTTTTTGTTTTGTTTTTCATTTCATAATTTTAAATCTAATCAAGAAAGAGAGAGAGGGAGATTCAGAAATGAATCTTTTTAAGATTCAAATCCCCTCATAAAATCTCTCTCGCTCGCATATTGGCTTCGAATTCAATTTTGATACAATTTTTTTTTTTGCTGTTTTGTTTTGTTTTGTCACTTGATCCATATTTTATTATTAATCACAGAGTCAGTCAGTCAGTCACTCAGTAAATAAAGAGGGAAAACGAATTATTCCAACAAAAACAAACAAAAAATTCATTAAAATTAATAAACATCGACGTCGTACTTTTTGCTGTTTTTTGTTTTTCTTCCAAAGAATTTCAAAAAACAACAAAAGAGGATTTATTGAGAAATCTAATAAATTTTTTTTCCAGTGTTTGATTTTCCGTAGGTTTTTTCGTTTCGTTTTGCTTTTCCAAAAAAAACTAATCACAAAATGACGAAAAATTGATACAAAAAACAAAAATATTCTTCATCATAATCATCATTGTTAATTTGATAAATTATTTCGGTGTTTGATATATGATGCTCTCTGCATATATATGCTGTGAAAGTTGATTCAAAACATCAAACTTTATCAGCAGCATTTTTTTTTCTCGATTAACTATTAATTTATTTCCGTCATTACGTTGTTCATCGTCGTCATTATTATTGATGATGATTATTATGTCAAATGAGAAAAAAACAAATTTCGCCTCTCTTTTAAATTATTAATCAGTCGTTTCGTTTCGTCTGTTGTTGACTTGTTTGTTTTAGTTTTAATTTTGTTTCAGTTTCACTAGAAATTATTATTATTATTATTATGATTTTTTGTTGTCAATCTCTGAATGAATTTCATAGGAATTTAGGGGGAAAACAAAAAAGTTGTACTGATAATGATGATGTCAACAAACATAATCATAATCGAGTGACAAAAAAATTGAGTAGATCTTTAATGAGTCGAAATAGCCTCATTATAATTCTGTGAATATAGAATTCGAATGTTTTTTTTTGTTTCGAATGTTTTTGTCAAGAATAATTTTTTTCAAATTCATTTTTTTGTTTTTGTTTTTGTTTTCAATATTTCATCCTGAGATTATCTTTTTTTTGTTTTCTCTCACTCCCCCCATTATAAAATATTGTTTCTGATTATTAGTATTTTTTTTTCATATGAATTTCCGGTTTTATTTCGTTTTTTCTACATTACAAAACAGTAGTTCTTATCATTCTGATTTTGTTTGTTTGTTTGTCGACATTTAGGTTCATGTCGTATTTGTATGTGTGTGTGTGTGTTTTGACGATCGATAATAATGTCCTCTTTTTTTTGTTTTTGTCGAACGGAAATCAAATTGAATATTGATTGATTTTTTGTTGTTGTTGTTGTTGTTGTTCAATAGATTTTCTAAAAAGTTTACAATGTCGTCATTGTCATTATTGTCATCATCATCATTTTTGTTGTTTGAATTCTTCAATTTTTTGTTGATTTGACATTTGTTTTTTCGACTGATTTTTTTCTGTTTGTTTTGATGAATTTATTTTGTAACAACTTTTTTTCAACTTTGAAATTCTTATTTTTAACTAATTCTGTTTTGTTTTTTTTGTTTGTTTGTTTGTTTGATTCTATTTTTATCCACCTAAAAAACATTTTTACTGTTGTTAGATTGTATCATCGTTAATTATTCGGCCTGGTGAGAAATAATTAATCAATCAATCAATCGATAATTGATCGATCATCCTTTCATTTGGAATTTCTCGTGAATAAATCTGCAATTTCTACTTTATTTTTGTTTTCAATCGAATAATAACAAGAAATATTTAAAGAAACAAAAATGTGGACTGTACAAAATAATCTACCGGAAGAATTACAACATCAAATTAGTTTAGTTTATGGTACGGATGTATTTCCAATGGAAGTACGTACAATACTTGGTGAATGGATTGAAAAACAACCATGGTCAAAAATTGTAACAGAATTATGTCCAGAAACTGAAGCATTAGCAACAGCATTACAACAAGAATTTATATTGAAAATCAATTCATTAGCTCATACATTGGATAATAATCAGCTCAAATATCGTTTAACACAAGTTGCATTTAGCGCACAACATCGTAATCCGGTTGATTTGGCTAGTATTATTTATTATTCATTACAAAAAGAATCACGTATAATTAGCTATGCTCAAAGTGTAAGTTTTTTTCCTTTTTTAATTTGATTATAATTTTGAAATTGTCTATTTTTTTCATTTCACTGCTAATATTTTTTTCAACAAAAAAAATAAACAGTGTTTATTGGATACAAAACCACCAAGACCAATACAGGATTCATTTCAAGAAATTAATCGTGACATACAAAGGATTCGTAAAGATTTAACCGAAACAGATGAAATTATTCGACAAACATTTCAGGATCAAGAACAATTAATTGTTAATTATCAGGATAGACAAAAAACACAGACTTTATTACAGAATGCTCAATCAAATGAACGTGCAAAAATAATGAAACAATTAGAAATACAAGAAAATAATCTACAAACATCGACTGAAACATTAATGAAACAAAGATCCGAATTATTGGATCGTTTACGTGAATGTAGTAATGCAATCAATATTTTAATGACAAAAGTATTGGATACTGAATTAGCTAATTGGCATCGTGGTCAACAATTATTAGGTAATGGTGTTATCTATACTGGTTATACATTGGATGATATACAAGATTGGTGTGAAGCATTAGCCGATTTTATATGGCAAAATCGTTTACAAATAAAACGTATGCAAATAACATGTACAAACTATAGTCCAAATCAATATCTTACAGATAGTTTGTATAATTTAATGGATGCAAACACTGCCATGTTAAATCGTTTAGTTAAGAATACGTTTGTGATTGAAAAACAGCCACCACAAGTGATGAAAACAAATACACGTTTTACAGCAACCGTACGATTATTGGTTGGCTGTAAATTAAATCTACATCTAGCACCACCAAATGTATCGGTCCATATTATTAGTGAACATCAAGCAGCATTATTAAGTAATGTAGCCGATAATTCATTATCATTCATACAGAATGAATCGGCCGCTGGCGAAATTCTCAATAATGTTGGTATTATGGAATATCATGCAGCCACTACTCACCTAAGTGTCCATTTTCGTAATATGCAATTGAAAAAAATTAAACGAACAGAAAAGAAAGGTACAGAATCTGTTATGGATGAAAAATTTGCCCTTTTGTTTAATTCACGTTTCACTATAAGTCAAGAATTTGGTGATATGCCAGTCAGAGTAAGTAATATTGAATTGATGAAGATGGAGAATAACAAAAATTTCCATTGCTTCTGGCCATTTCTTTTTCGAATTTAATTTAATTCTTATTGTTTTTCTTTCTTTCATTTTTTATTTTTTTTTGCTTAAATAAATTAGATTCCATGTTGCGTTCAAACATTTTCATTACCGGTGGTTGTAATTGTGCATGGAAATCAAGAGCCACATGCACATGCTACAATCACATGGGATAATGCATTTGCTGAACAGGTAAAATTTTTTGGTTTGTTGAAAAAACTTAATTATTGATTTCTTTTTTCTTCAAATATTTTTTTTGTTTTCTAGAGACGAACATCATTTATCGTACCGGATAAAGTACCATTTTATCGTGTTGGTGAAGTACTTAGTCAAAAATTTATTGCAAATGTTGGTAAAGGTTTAAGTCAAGATAATCTAAGATTTCTGGCTGCAAAAGCATTACGTACGAATAATGTACCCGATCTAAATGTATTGATTACGTGGAGTCAATTTAGTAAAGAACCATTACCTGATCGTAATTTTACATTTTGGGAATGGTTTTATTCAATATTAAAAATAACTAAAGAACATTTACGACCATTATGGAATGATAATCTAATACATGGTTTTATTAGTCGAACTGAAACGGCAAATATACTATCACAATCATCAATGGGAACATTTTTATTAAGATTTTCTGATTCTGAACAAGGCGGTTTAACCGTAGCATGGAAAGGAAAATCACCCGATGATAATCAAGCTGGTTGTTTTATGTTACAACCATTTACGGCAAAAGATTTAAGTATACGTTCATTAGCTGATCGTTTAAATGATCTAAAAAATTTAACACATCTTTATCCGGATACACCGAAAGATATGGTATTCTCTAAATATTATACACCTATTGGTGAAACAACTAAAACAACAACCGGTTATGTTAAACCAGTTCTGGTCACATGTGTGCCTGGGTATTATTAAAATTTTATTTTGACCAAAAAAAAAATTATCTAGTTACATTTCCTTTTTATTATTCTTTTTCTTTATTTTTACTTTCAAAATTACTATTAACGAATATTAAATTGATTGATATTTTATTCTAATTTGAAAAAAATTCTCATTCTTTTTTCTTCTTCTTCTTCTTCTTGTCTTTATTCTTTACCAATCTTGTTTGTTTTTTTTTCTCTCGATTTTTATTCATTTATGATGCTCAACATTGATGATGTGTGATTCGGATTCGGAAATCGATCCATTTTGAAAACAAAACAACCCTAGTCTATCTGCAATGTCATTGGAATCATTTCCAAATACACCACAATCATCATTACAGCCACATTCACCAAGTGATTCGAATTCAATGCCATTTGATTCAAATCAAACATCAATGGATTGTACAACAGTCAAGTAAGTTTTTCATTTTCAAAACAAATATCATTTTTTTATCATTATTGTTTTCAGTCATATTTTTTTTTTGCTTTAAATTTTCATTTTCATTTCTTATTTATTTCGTTTTTGTTTTGTTTTATTTTTCCAGTTTTCCATTTTTTTCTCAATATTAATCAGGCATGAAAATCTTTGATTTCACATTTTGTTTGATCTTTCTTTTTTTTGCAAATTGAAAAAACATTGAAATAAAATCTTTCCTCATTATTCCAATTTTTCTTTCTTCTTCTTCTTTTTTTCCTGTCAAAACCAAAATTTAAAAAAAAGGGTTACAGGATTTCATATGGTTTAAATCACTATTGAAAAAAAAACATTCAAAACAAATATTTTCACAATTCAAAACAAAAATCAATCAATCAACGATTCACACAAAACATTCGAATTTAATCATTATTGACGTATCGATTGCATCAATGGCAGATATTGATAAACGAAAAAAAACAAAAAAATTCCTATGAAAATGTTTCACATTTATTTCCTAAAGCAAAAATATTTCTCTGTTTGCATGTGTGCGTGTGTGTCTGTGTGTTAACCGAAAACAATAATTTTGTTAAAACAAAAAAAATTTAACCCTAGCTTATTCAATTTGGAATTTTTTTTTCTTCTCTCAATTCCTTTATATATAAATCGATTCTTGTCATTTTTCCCTCCATTTAACACCTATTATCTTGAATATCTTTCACTCCAGCATTTCATCATATTTGGCATAAACATTGAATTATTTCATCGACAAAATCGCATATCGACTTTTTTTCCTGTTTGTTTCAAAATTCATTTTATCAAATTAATTGATTGTTTCTCAAAAAGAAACCACATGTGTCCCATTAACACTTACACACACACACAAATCATAATTTTTCAATGAAAACAGAACAAAAAAAAATTCATTACATCATCATTCTGGATCTTATTTTTCAATTACGAGATTTTCAAATTTTTCAATTTTTCTCCGAACAAATATTAAACATGGATTCTATCAATGGCAACCAAAAAAAAAACCAATGAATTAATGAATAACGAACAAAACCAAAAAAACGAAAATCTTTTTTCCTTCTAATTCTGGCTTTTTTTCCATCTCTCTCTCTCTTCATCATCCTTTTTCTTGCAATCTAAAATGTGTTAATCGAAATTCTCTTTCTCTTTTCTTATTCATAATAATGATAATAATAATAATTCTTTAATTAACCAATGATTAGCCTGTGTTGTTTTTTTATTAATCTTCTTGTGCGTAGGTGTTTTGATTTTCATTTTCTTTCTCTCTTCGGTAAAAAGAAAATCAATTCAACCAATTTTTTCCTTTTGATCCATAATCAAATTTTTTTTTTCGTTTCGTTCAAACTAACAATCATCCCTTTTTTTTGGTTATTTTTTAATCCCCTTCCATCCCTACCTCTATAGACAAAATGGAATCCATAAAACACCACCACCACCACCTCCAACATCATCACCATCATCTACATCATCATCATTGATTACCAATAATAATAATATTGCATCATCAGCTGATGGCCAACATCATCATCATCATTCGCATCATTCACATCATCATTTACATCATCAACAACATCAGCAACATCATTTAAATCATCATCATCATCATCATCATCAACAACAACAACAACATCATATTAATAACCATAATCTTAATCTAAATCATCATCATCATCATCATCATCATCATCATAATAATTCATCATCATCATCATCATTTGAAATTATGTCGTTTAATAATAATAATAATAATAATAATACGATACAAGATTCAAATGCCGCATCCACAACAACATCATCATTAGTACCGATTGATTTTTCAAGCGATGGTTTTAATTTTTGATGATTAATAAAAAAAATGATAAAATAAAACCAAAAAAAAACATTTTTTATTTTTTAAAATTTTCGTTACAAACGAAACAAAATAATAATAATAATAATTTGTTTAATTTGTTTGTTTGTCTTTTGATTTTTTGTATTTTAAATTAATAAAATTGATTTAAACATTAACCCCATCACCATTATCGTTTTCTTGGAAAAACAAATGTAGATGATGAACTTGCCATACAGACAAATGATTGAAAATACACAATGGGTTATATTTTTTTCATTGCATTCTTAACAAAGATTTTTGTCTGTTCTTAACCATCATCAACCATTTCACTTGTTGATGTTTCCGTATTTTTTCGTTCTTAATACGATTATCAAACAAACAAATGCATAGTGAAAATGAAGATCATTTGTTTGTTTCATTTTCATTCATGCATCTTTTTTTTTGTTCAAATGAATCCTTCATTGTCAAGTCGAATAAAAAACATTCTTTGTAAGTGTTTGATGGATACATATTTTTTTCATTATTAAAAAAGAAGAAATTATTATCCATTGTATTTGTTCACTCTGAAGTGAACATTGAATTTTTCTATTCATTTTGACTTTTGCACTTGATAATGATGATTATATAATAACCAAAACAAAAACAAAAAAAAATTACATTGTTTTTCTTTCAACTATGTCATTATGAATTTATTCATCATCATCATCATTTTAAATGTACAATATGTAGATGATGGAATGAATATACGTATGTGGGTGGATTTTGAATAGAAAAAATGTTTGTTTGTTTGTTTTTCGTTTTTTCTGACCCAATATTGTGTTTGTAACATTATTTGAAGATAATCAAAATCATTGATGATGATGATGAGAAAGGCCAAGGCTTTATTCATTTTCGTTTAATGTTTCATTTTCATTCATTTTGAAAATGATGATGATGATGCTTATCGAAATTTTACCAGGTTTTCGTCAAAGATTTACTTTCCATTGACGACGACGACGACAAAAAAGAGAAAAACATTAAATGATAATGATTGCAAAGGCGTCCGGTAATAGAAATTGTTAAATTTGAATTGTCCGTTTGTTTGTTTGTTTGTTTATGTGTGAAATACCGGAAAAGATTTTTTTTTTGTTTTTTTGGCCATTATTGAATCATCAACATCGTCATTGACCGTATATTTCAATCGGTAAATGATAATGATTATGTCTTTGTTTGATTTTATTTCGAAAAAAAATCTCATTTTCCATCGGTAATCATGATGATCGAATGGAATGAAATAGAAAGCCGGTTATTCGAAAACATAACACACGTGTGTGTGTGTGTGCGTTGTCCGTTATATAGTGATCCATTGTCCTTGTTGTTGTTGTTGCGATGTTAGTCTTGAATTTTCATCATCATCATTTCCCATTCGATTGTTAAGATATTTTTTTTGTTGCGAAATTTTTTTTTCTTCGGTAATTCATCTTCGGGAGTGTGTGTGAAATACCGATCAAATGTAAACCATATTGACAAAAAAAAAAATCGTTTCTTTTGCTTCATTGGTCATTGCAAAGAAGACTGGGAAAAATGGGGGAAAAAAATACAGGAAGCAATTAAACAGATCAAATTGAATTAATGCGACCGAGAAAAAAAAACTGAAACAACAAAAACAAGATCAAATCATATTTCGATCCGTTTATTCTTCTTCTTCGTCTTCGAATGTATCGAATCGATCCAAAGGAACGAATAAAACAAAAAACCTTTGTCAAAAAGAAAACAGAAACAAAAACAAAAAATTCACATTGATCAAGATCACCAAAAGATGATGATGATTTGTTTACCTTTCACACACACACACACACACAAAAGTATTGATAATTTCAATTTCAATTTTTTTTCCTTGTCATTATCGTCATCATCAACCATCAACATCAAAATGATAAAATATTTCCTTGGTCAAAGAAAATTGGAACAAGGAAAAAAAACAAATCAATTGTTTTTTGTTTTGTTTTTTTCGTTACTTCGTAAATGATGTTTCCGGATTGATTAGTTTCGAATATGAATTCAAATTTGATTTTTTTTCTTGATTCAAATGTCCACTGTAAATGACATTTGACATTCAAATTTTGTTGATTAAGAAAAAAATTAAATCAATCAAATTTTGAGCTGATTTTGCTTGTTCAATTCATCAACTATGACAACAAACAAACAACAATTATAATCGTGTAAATGTCAAAAAAAAGAATTTCTTGTTGAAACAAATGAAGAAACAAATAGAAAAAAAAAATCTTAACCTATCTAATTTCTCTTTTCGTGATTGACTTGATTTTGTTTTTTTTGCTTAAAATATTTATTCTTGATGAAATTTAAATGAAAAAAAATCATTGACCATTTCATCAACTGAAGAAGAAGAAGAACAACAACAATACAAAACAAACATTGATTTGACCGAAAGACCTGATATTGTGATTGACCTAGAAATTATCAAATGTTTAATGATTTTTTTTTGGACAATTTTCTGTAATCTGTTCGTTGTTGCTTAATGTTACCCGATCAATCAACCGAGAATTATAATGGTAAAACCTTGAAATCCGATTTTTTTTAAAGCAAATTAACCAAACTATAGTAATTAGTTTAAAAACACGTGTAATTCTTTCATTTTTTGTTTTAATCCAAAATATTTTGTAATTTACTTTTCAGTTGAAAAAAACAACAATTTGTAATTATCTTGATCTGTCTGTCCGTGTGTGTGTGTGTGTTTTGTCATTTGTCATTTGACAAGCTGAATACTGTCATTGACATCAATCCTATCGATTTAGTTTTTTGTTGTTGTTGTTGTTACTTATGAATAAAATATGGAAAAATAAAAAAAAAGAGATTAACGGGTTAAGGTCACTAAAATTATCATCCGAAAATGATGATGATGATTTTTATTTTCAAACAACAACAAAAAATCCAAAGAACCATGTCTATCCTTGTTCCAAATCAATCAAAAAATTTGAAAAAAAATTTCAGACAAAACAAAATAAATAATGTTTGTTGTTGTTGTTGTTGTTGTTGATAATGACCAACAACAACAACATTATTTCAAGGTTTCAATCAATTTTGGAAAAAAAAATCTTGATTCGAAAAAAAAATTACAAAATTACTACCTATTATCATTATGAACAACAACAACAACAAAATTGAAAAATAATAGTATAGGAGTCAACAACAACAACAACAAAAACGAAAGGAAATTATATGGATTTGGCGCCAAAATATCCAAATATGATTTATGGAGAGAGGAGTATGGAGATCAGATTAGTAAAAAAAAATATAGAGAAATGTTTTCTGTTTTTTCTTTTCATTTCATTTCATTTCATTTCTCTTTTCATTGTCTCTTGCTTGTTTGCTTGCGATATTCAAAAACAAAATGTCTCAACAGCGATGACCGAATCGACTCGTTTTTTATGAGATAAAATACAGAAAGTAAAACTCTTTGGAAAGAAAATGAAAAAAATAACAAAAGATTTTTTTTTTTGGATAAAAAAGTTTCTTCAAAAACGAAATAATCTGTTGAATGATAATCATATTTTTTTTCTAAACAAAGTGTAACACACACACGCGCGCGCTTGGAATGGATATCAAAAATACAAAAAATGCGCGTGTTTGTTTGTTCCAGAAACATAGTTTGAATGTAACAACAACAACAACAACAACAAATTGATTCAATAATAAATTCATTTTTTTCTTCTAGAAAAAAAAACATATGATGATATTTTCAATATCATCATCATCATCATCATTTACAAAATAATTTCTTATTACTTGTAAACATCATCATCAATGGATTTTTTCTTCGTTTAAACAAAAATGTAATTCTCTAAGATGCAGAGTGTGTGTGTGAGAGAGAGAGAGAGGTATTGAATGAACATCAACAACCATTCACATCTACATTCGATTCAATGTAAACAACATTTTTCACTTTCTTTCCAGAATGAATATTCTTGTTTTTTTTCACATAGAAATATGTGATAAAAGTGATAATGATAATTAAAAATTGTTGTTATTGTTGTTGTTGTTGTTGTTGTTGGTGGTGGTGGTGGTCATGGTCATGGTCATCATTATCAACAACGATGTGGATATTATTATTACTGTTATTACCATCAATCAGTTTTACAGTGAAATCAAATGATGATGATCGTCGTCAATACAGTGGTGAATAGTGATTGTGGTGGTGGTGGTGATGGTGGTAGTAATGATTGATAAATATCGTCATTAAACATCATCAAAAAAACGTCAAATGAAACAAGAAGTTTTTTTTAAATCTGATTATCGTCATTCAATTTTGAAAACTTTTTTTTTTGTTGTTGTTGATCCAATCGATTGATTGATTGATTTTATATTTGGCGCCATCCGTTTTTTTTGTTCAGTTTAAAGAAGATTTTTTTTCAAATGAAATTCTCTAGACAAACTGTAATGTTTAGTACATTTCCATTTCCGAATGATAAAACAAACGTTAATTTCATTTGTGTTAGAAGAATTTTGTATTTTTTTTGCGTTTTTCCTTCAACGTTTTTCTTTCCTTGCGTTGCTTTCAATTCACGTACTCCATCAATGATAGTCAACAACAACGACAGCAACATTCAATCACCATATTCATTCATTCATCCTGTTGTCAGTGAATAAACAACAACAACAGTAAAAGTGTTAGAAATTTTTTAAAAAATAAAAACTTGTTTCAGGTTGAATTTTTTCCCCATTTATTTGTAACAACCACCTGTATATTTGATTGATTAATATTTTTTTATTTTGTTTCTGCAAAAATTAGTTAAAACATCTATTTTTATTTGATTTCGAAATCGAAAACAAAAAAAATTTGGTAAAAAAAAACTACAAAAACGAATAAAATCCGATTCGATATTCTAGTCTTGAAATTGAAAATTTTCTTACTGAATTTTATAAACATCCATTTTCAAAAAACCATCCATTTAACTATGGCCAAGTATTTGAATAATGAAATTTTATTTAGTCGAAAACAATCACAACAATCTTCTTTATTATTAATGAAAAAACAACAACAACAGCAACATTTAATTTTACGATCACAAATGATAATTACAATTTTATTATTAATATTGATTATTATATTTACATTCATCATTGTCAATCTGTCATCTATATCATCATCATCATTGATGCAAATCAATGCAAACGATTCAATTCGACAATCAAATCATTCCAATATTATACCGATTGGTAAGAATAATTTTTTTCTGAAATCAAAAATTACCACGTACAAATAGCACGTGTTTTCATTTCATTCAATTTTTTCCTCAAATATTTTTCCTTTTCCATTGACAAACGAGAGAAAGAGAAAAGATAGAAAAAGGAAATGAAATTGAGAAAAAAAAATAGGAAAAAGAAAAAACCCAAACCCAAGAACAGCCAATTTCACGAACACCAGAAACAATTATTATTATTATTTAACCAATTTTCATAATCATCAACGAACAAAAACAAAAAAACGCTTTGTTTCAAAAAAAAAAAATCATTTTTGGCTTTAAAAAACAATAATAACAATAATCTAATTTAAACGGAAACGAACAAAGAAATGAAAAAACTATTTTTCTTATTTTTGTCATTAAAAAATTGGTGATAATTTTCCTTTTTTTTTACAAACACAAACACAAACACATAATAATAATAAGATTTCCCACTTTTTTACCTTACATTTCACACTGGTGCTTATGGCAAATTATCCATTGATTCGTTTCATCATCATCCTCTGGTTTAACGTTTAATTTTTTCTTCTCGACTAATTTTTTGACAGATAATATTATTATTGCGATTGAACAAAACTGTTAAACAACAACAACCGGATCTTTATTTTACTATAATGATATAATTGAAAGTGGTAGTAGTTTGGAAGTGGCTGTTAAAGGATTAGGCGAAAGAAATTAAAAAATTTTCTTTGAAACTTTTATAAAAATAAATTTAATTAATTATTATAATTAGAAATATTTGTTTATCAATTTTGCTAAATGATGTGTTTGTTGTTGTTGTTGTTGTTGTTTTTCAAATTTCAAAAAACATTAATTAAAGAGTTTGATCAAGAGAGAAAGAGAATGGTAAAGTTGTCAATCAACTAATCGCTAAATGATTTTGTTTGAAAATAAAACACTTTTTTTCTTCTTTCACGAATTCTAATTATATAATCTTTTTATTTTGTTTTTTAAAAATAGAATTAAGTGATAACCCGATTAATAATGATGATTTTAATGGCTATAATATCCGTTATGATGATAATGAAAATGGATCACTGATAATAATAAACAATACTGATAATCATCATAATAATAAATCTGATGATTCAAGATTGATGGCTAGTCTTTTTATTGATCGTCATGTTTATGATGATGGTGATAATGATGATGACCTTGACCATAATCCTATGAATATATCATCATCATCATCATATAATCATAATAATAATAATCGTTTTAAACGTGGTGTTGTTAGTTTAGCATCAATGATACGTTGTATAGCACAATGTAATCCATTAAGTTATAAAGATTATGGTTGTTATTGTGGTTTTCAAGGTGAAGGCTATCCCGTTGATGCTATCGATAGGTTTGTACAATTTTTTGTCTATTGTTGTTTTTTTTTAATTTGAATTTTTTCATTATAAAATCTAGATGCTGTTATATGCATGATATGTGTTATGAACAAAGCGAATGTAATCAAGCATTAGTTTATTTTGTTTCATATAAATGGATTTGTAGAAAAAATCGTCGTGCTAGCTGTGGTAAGTGTTTAATGTTAATCAAATGAATTAATTTATTTAAAATAAAAAATAGGATACGTTATCGATGGTGATTCAAAACAACGATGTGCCTATCAACTATGTGAATGTGATAGAAAATTTGCCAAATGTCTTAGCCGTCATCGTTGTCCATCGGTGAAACCATCATGTCGTACTAAACGTAATATATTAACGAGCTTGAGTAAATTATTCTTTTAATTCGGAATCAGATTCAAAAAAAACCAGCAGCAACAAACAATGGTGATGCTGGGGAAAAAAATTTTATTTTCTTGGTCAATGGGGTATTCATTTTTCTTTTTTGTTTTCAAAAAAATCAAACCTTTTGGCCAAAAATCAAAAACAAAATCCACAATTGTTAAATCCAAAATTGATTAATAATTTGACTATTTTCACTGATCTCTTGCAATTTGAAATGATTACATTCAATATCGACACACTTCTGTCAATGTAGAAATCCGAATGATTTTTTTTCTCCCAAAAGTTTTTTTTTAAATCTTGTTATAAAAAAGTCAATGTAATTTAAGTTATTTACTGTTTATAATTCTAATATTTTCTGTTGAGTTTATTTTTATTTTCCTTTCCATTTCATACATCAATTTATTATTATTTAAAAAAATGAAAAAATAAAAAAACATTTTTAAAAAATAACGTTTTATCAGGATCTCATAACACTTGTACACCACCCATAATGTTGACCATTCGATTATTGTATTTTTTCGATATTGCTTCTTCAATCTGAAAATTTTGAAAATGAAAAAAAAATAATGCGATTTGAAAATTCTCATGAAACTTACCCGCCGTTGAATATGTTTAGTATGTTGAATTTGTTCCTCAATCTGTGGTCCAATACCCGATAATTCTTGTAATAATTCGGAACGTTTCAATTCTAAATCTTCAGCTTTTTTCATTGCTTTTTCCGACAATGTTTTTAGATGATTTAATTTTTTATATAAATTTTCAATATATTTTGGACTATTTTTCATATAATACAATGCTTTCAATGCAGGTGTTTCAAATTGTTGTCGTATTTGTATGACAATAGACATCATTTCATGAAGACCATCAACACCGGTTAATTGTACAACACTTGGTGCCGATTGAAACAAATATGATGCTAATGCATGATCAGATTTTATTTCTTCAATTCTTTCACGTAGAAAATATTCAATTTCAATCAATTCATTAATAAATTTACTTCGAAATTCTGTATGAAGCAAAACACTTTGTGCATCATCACCACGTGCAATTTTTACTACATCTTCTGTTTGTTTTGTAAATTCATCATCCATAACTTTGATTGGTTCATCAATTTCGACATTTAAATCTTCTTGATCTAATTTAACAAAATCTCCATTACTAGTGGATGGTGTATCCGTTGATGATGTTGCTTGATCATCATCACCAAAATCAATTTGATCACCGAAATCAATTTGATCATTATTTACATTATCATCACCAAAATCGATAACATTTTCATCATCAGCATTTGCCATTGTTGATTTACCAAGTTTTACCTCTTCAATCGAATCCGGTATATGACCAGTACGATATTCATACCAGGTAGTATTACCTTTAGCCAGTAGATAATGAAGATTTGGTAGACATTCAATTTCACTAAAATATAATTATCATTACTCATGGTCGATTCATTTACATTTTTCTTACCTTTGTTGTGATACAAAATGTATGAATGATTTATAATAATTACAAACCGATATTAATGATGGTATCTTTTCAGCAAGAATGGACATTTTTTCCGGTAATATTTCCAATTGTGAATAAAGTTCATCACGTATATTATCACCATTGATAGCTAATTTTTTACAACTAGCATAATATTCATTGAGAAAATTTTTCGATTGTTTTCGACTATTTTCTACTAATCGTTCAAGATCGGATATTTGTTGTTGATATTTGGATTGACACTTTTTCAATGATGGCACTTCATAATTTACATTTCGTATTAATGTTTGTGCATCTTCGGCTAAATAAACATTATCTTTTTCATATTGTTTACAGATTTCTTGCCAATCCTGAAATCGTTTTGATGTATATTGTCCGAATATATTTTTTGAACTTTTATCCGTATTTTTTAGTATTTCAACTATACGTTGACATACATAATAATCGAATACTGTTATTTACACGAAGAGAAAAATATTTGGAAATTTTCGAACCATAATCATTTCGGCTAACATACCATTACGTTGTAATAATTCACGAACTTCATCAATTTGTGGCATATCTTGTATGGCCAATCGTATCTTATTACGAATCATATCGATTGATTTTTGATAATCTTTTCGACAATGACGACGACTTATTAGCCAATCTATTTAAATTAAATTAATAAAATTCGGAATGAAAATTTATTGTTACATACCTAATAATTTATTGGTCTGTATATCGATAGGAAGATCAGCATCGGCCATGATTTTCGGAATTTATTGTTTTAAGAATTTATTTCGTTGAATTAAAAACTTAAGACGTGGACACGGAAAAACTTTTCGAGAAAAAAAGAATATCAAGTTAGAAAAAAAGTTTCCAGGAAACCATGTGATCATTTTCATGCATGCACGTTTGTTCGTTTTTTAATTTTGGTAGAATATTTTGGATTTAAATTTTGTCAAAAATGGTACGAAAATTACGATTTCATGAGAAAAAACTTCTTCGTAAAGTTAATTTCATACAATGGGAACCGAACAATCTGAATGAATTACGTATGATGCGAAAATATGGTGTTGATCGTAATGAATATACGAAATATAATAAACTTGCAGCCGAAATTCGTCAATTGGCCGAAAAATTATCTACACTTGAAACGGATGATGAATTTCGTAATGAATGTTCAGCACAATTGATTGAAAAATTATATTCGATTGGTTTGATTCATACGAAACGATTGAAACGATGTAAGGATATTTGTGTCAGTACATTTTGTCGACGTCGTCTTCCTGTTTATATGATAAAATCTGGAATGTTTACCGGACCATTAGAAGTTGCTGGTTTGTATATTTTGATGAGTTTTTCTAGATAATGTTAATCAAATGAATGATTTTTTCAATATGATAGTCAAATATGTCAAACATGGACACGTTAGAATCGGACCAAATGTCATACAAGATCCAGCATTTTTAGTGACACGAAATCATCAAGATTTCATCACATGGACAGATAAATTTCGTGATAATATTGATACTTATAATGATAAACATGATGATTATAAAGATTAAATTTATTTATCTAACAAAAAAAAATGAATCAAGATTCTTGTTTGTTTTGTAAATATATTTTTAAATTAAATTTAAATTGGAATTAAATTAATTATTTAAAAATTGAAATTGTTCACTATTATTATAATCGGATACATCAAGAGCAACGATAGCTGATTCACGAACAACACGAGTATCATCATCAAGATAATCTTTAAGAATTTGATTAGTTTCTTCGGTTGCAATGGCACCCAATGCTTCAGCGCATTCATGACGTACCATTTCATTTTCTGATTTTTCGGCCAAAACTTTGGCCAATTTTGCTGTCGTTATTGGACGTTGCATTTGGCCAAGCACAAATGCAATTTCATGACGAAATAATGCTGAATCTTGACAATCAAGACCATCGGCTAATGCCATTGCTGATTCATCGGTATTTAGATTACGTAACGAAAACATTGCCTGATATCGTTTGAATAATGATTCATTCGGATCGATTAGAACCTGGCGAAGATTTTCAATCATTTTCTTATCATTATTTTTTAAACCTAATGGCGGAGCTGGATCGACCGATGAATAAATGGAATGATCAGATGTTCCATTCGAACAATCACTATCACGATTACGAAAATGTTTAATTCGATTTACAGCTAATTGGGCGGTTTCAGCAACATCTTTATTACTATCATCAACATAATTCTATAGATTAGATCGAAAAGTTAAAAAACAATTCATTTATCAAACAAAACAATCTTTACCTCTAGTATTTCAAGACATTCATCAGTACCGATTGCACCAAGTGCTTCACCAGCTTCATGACGAACCATAGGATGTTCCATAGTATTAGCTAAAACTTTTGATAAAATTTCAATTGCATAAACATCTTGCATTTGTCCAAGACAATAAGCACATTCATGTTTCAACAGGGCTGAATCATCTTCAAATAAAACTTTGCCAATATGATCGATTGCCGATTGGCCACCGATATTTTTCAACGTAAATAATGCCCGAAATCTTATGGCCATTGATTTCTGTGGATCTTGTAGCCATTGGGCTGTTGTGTCAAATTCTTTTGGAGATATTGTTGATTTGACCATTTTGTTGTGATTTTTTTTTTTGATGCAATGTGGTTTCAATTGTTTATTTTACGACATACACATGCGTTAATTAATAATTTACACGTTGCAAGTTTAACAATGTTTGAAATTTTATTTATTTTTCGTAAAGAATTTAAAATATCAATATAAAGATAATAATAAAAAAAATTAGAAAAAAATGTCTACGTTTTTGTTGATGATTCTTTCAATGAAACAGTACGATTAAATACAAGACGTCCAACACTTGAATCAGTATCGACACTGAAAAAACCAAGACGTTCGAATTGAAATTGTTGATAGATTTGGCCATATTTAACCGAAATATCAACCAATGCAGCCGGTATTATTGTTTTAGCATTACGATTACAATCGGAAATAAAACCATCGGGAACTTCATTTGGATCTTCAGGATTTTTATGATTAAATAATCGTTCATAAAGACGAACTTCAACACGTAATGGATTCGAAACCCAATGAATAAAGGCACGTGGTTTTTCTTTCAGTTGTTCGATTGGTTCATATTCAACTTCAATATAATCGATTTGATTATCATCAGACCGACGATGTATTTGTTTTAAACGAATAGCACAATTGGCATATCTTAAGCCAACCAATTGTTTTGGTGTTAAACGACGAAAATCTGGATCCAAATCATCCGAACGAAAATCATCATGTTCAATGAATATTTCACGATCAAATGGTATTTTATGTTTGGTTGAATTTGGATCGGCTGGAAAATCTGGTATTTCCAGATATGTTGGTGCCGATTTCGGTGGTAGATTAACAATAATTACACGTAATGGTTGTAATACAGCCATAGCACGTGGTGCAGTAGTATTAAGTACATCACGTACAGCAGCTTCTAACATTGCCGGATCAACAGCCGTATTAGCACCGGTCAAACCCATTTGTGCACAAAACATTCGAATAGCAGCCGATGGAAAACCACGACGTCTTAATGCTGTTAATGTAAATAATCTTGGATCATCCCAATCATCAACGATACCTTCATCAATCAATTTGGCTATTTTACGTTTCGATACAACCGTATAATAAACATTTAAACGACCATATTCCCATTGTACTGGACAATATACATCCAATGAATTACATAGCCAATAATAAGCTGAACGTCTTGTTTGAAATTCTTTTGTACATAATGAATGTGTAATATTTTCCATCGAATCAACTAGACAATGAGTAAAATCATATGTTGGATAAATACACCATTTACGTCCGGTACGATGATGTTCAGCCATTTTTATTCGATATGCTACCGGATCAACTTTTCCTTCTTCCATCGTATATTTCATTCGTAATGTAGCTTCACCTTCATTCATTTTACCGGATTTCATTGTTTCAAATAGCTGAAGATTTTCTTCAATTGTACGATTACGCCATGGTGATGGTGGTGGATTAAAACCTTTTAATTCTTCAGGTTTTTGATGACAAACATAAGCTAATCCACATTTGATTAATTTCACAGCCAATTCATAAAGTTGATCAAAATAATCGGATGAATATGTTATCTGATAAGGTTTATAACCAAGCCATTCAACCATATCACGAATCGAATGAACAAAACGTTCTTCTTCTTTTTCCGGATTTGTATCATCATAACGTAGAATACAATCACCACCATGTGCTTCAGCATAGCCAAAATTTATGTTTATAGCTTTTGCATGACCAATATGTAGAATACCGTTTGGTTCGGGTGGAAATCTAGTTCGTACACGACCTTGAACAGCTTTACAATGTTCGGCCAATAATCGCATTGTATTCGGTGTTATAACATAACCATCGGTTTTATAATTTTCACCAATTTTATGAAAATTTACACGTCGTAATAATTCAATAATATCACGACATTCTTCCTCTTTCACTACGATACCTTTCGATGGTTTTGGCTGTTTTTCTTTTTTCGGTTTAGCCATATCTTGTTCAGTTTTTGGTCCCAACAATTTTTGAATCTGTTTATCAGCTTCGGTTTTGATTGCTTTACCATCGGCAAATTTTAATGCTTTTCGTGCTTCCGTTATTATAATGCCAACATTGAATCTATATCTTTTCTCAATTATTTCTTGATGATTTTTTTCGATTTCTTTTGCAATTGCTTCGCTAATCTGTTCATCAGTAATGACAACATTAACACCGGCATTAGTTTCAAATTCTTTAACATCGACTGATGTAGGATTTGTTAGAAGATATTCAATTGCAGCGGCTAACTTTGGTTCACTATCGATTTTTTGCTTGGCAATATATTCGATTAACATTGGTAGATGATGTCGTATCTGAGTCTTCGAAGTTGTTGCAGCTTGATAAACTAATTTTCCAATATTTCGATCAAGATTTTTTGAATTTTGATCGATATTTTTTTGCAATGTTTCGATCATTTCCATTAATAATTTTGTCAACGATTCATTTTTAATTGTATCTTTTACTTTATCATCGGTTAATCCGAGCCACAAAAGACGATCACAAATTTCATCATCCGAAGACATGATTTTAAGATTTTTTTATTATGAACAAAAATTCGAAACAAAAGACAGCTTCCACGCGGACAACTTTTTTTCAAATGCATGTACAGTCAGCTGTGTTTGTGGAAAAAAGTTCCCATGTAACTTTTACATTCGAAAATTTCTGAAAATTTTCCCAATTTGAAATTGCTTAAACATCATTCAAAATTAATAAACGTGATAGAAACAAACGATTTTTTATTGAATAAAAATTTTTTATAAATAATCTTAATTTCAGTCATAATTTTTGAATTTCAATGCAATCAATCACTTTCAATTCATGCATTTTTGTTCAATTGATTATTTGATTGTATTGAACGAATGATAAATCTTTTTTTTTGAAGTAAAAAAAAATAATTCAATCATCTTCATCAGGTTCTCTGCGTAGAAATTCAACCAATTTTTCTGCAGGTATTTCACGTTTATAGATCAGGTTTACAGCATGGAATAAAGGAAAACCTATTGAAAAATAAAAAGACATTTAAAATTTTTTTTGCTTTGTTTTGCAATCGCAAAATACATACGATCAATGTAACCATTAAGATTGAGCATATTGACAACTTCTTCACATGTTTGATAACCTTGTAATTTTTGTCCATTGAGCATTTCAGTTTCAAGTTCTTCAATTGTTTTACCAGTTTTAACAAATGCTTCGGAAACACGACGATTACGACCACCATAACAGGTGGTAATTAAATCGGCAACACCACATGATTCAAAAAATGTTGACACTTGCAATCCATCGGCATAGAATGTTTTACAGAAACGAATCATCTCTTTCAAACCGATTCGTATGACAGCCGCTTTAGTATTGTCACCATAACCTAGGCCATCAGAAAAACCGGCAGCACATGCAACAACATTCTTTAATGCACCACAAATTTCCACTGTATATCGATCCGGTACAACCGTTACACGAAAATCATCCGTTTGAAATAAATCCTTTAGTATGGCACCTTGATGTGGACATTTACAACCAATAGTTGTTTCACAGAATTTCTGTTCAGCCACTTCATTTGCTAGATTTGCTCCCATCAATACAGATGTATCAATACATAATGTATGACGTATTACATCGGATATAAGCTCAATACCACCGGATGGCAGTTCATTAAAACCCTATTATCATATCATAATGCGAAAATTAAGTTTTTTTTCAAGTTTATAAAAAAACAAACCTTAATCAACGAGATAGCTATTGCATTTGGATTAATTTTACCCTTTAGTGTATTACAAATTCGTAATACAAAGGCATGTGGTACAACAAACACAAGTATATCAGCATCACCAACCGTATGTTCAAGGTCTGGATCAGCAATCTATGGCAAAAAAAAATAATCTTATCTCTTTTTTTGTGAAAAATACATTTAAATACTTACAATATTTTCAGGCAATTTTTGACCAGGTAAATATTTAACATTCTCATGTTGTTCATTGATAATTTCACTTAATTTTCTACCATCAACAATCTCTTCATAAACATACATTCGAACTTCGGATTCAAATTGTGGATATTTTTGTGCATTTTTTCCAACAATTTTTGCTATAGCTGAACCCCTTTTGAATTCAATAAATCAAATACATCAAAATCAATTGATGACAAATCAACGAAACTTACCAATTACCCGAACCAATAATACAAGCACGTTTTTTACCCATTACTTTAATCCAGGCAAATTTATCCTGTCTATTAAAATTCCAGAAAAAATCATTATGTTTATTATGTTTATTATTTGATTTTGATGATGATGGCGATGGTGATGATGACGATTTCGATGAATATGAACGAACAACAAACATATTATTATTATTAGTATTAATATTAATATTACAATAGGAATGTTTGAATGAAATTATAAACAATTTTTGTTGAAAATAATTATAATCAAAATAAGAAAAAGAAAAAAAAGAAAATCTAAATAAGAATCTCAAATAAGAATATGAATATTGTCGAAAATAAAAATTTGGGTTGACTGTTTGGACAAAATGAAGAAAAAAAACCAAAAAGGGGTAAAGGAATGACAAAAAAAGAAAGAAAGAAAGAAAGAAAAGGAAAATAAAATAAATATACGAACAATGTACTCATTTTTCGATTCATTTGAAAAGAAAAATTTTTATTTTGAAAATTTTTGAAAACCAAATTTGATTTAAAAAAACCAGGAAATTAATGTTTGTTTTTAATTTGAATTCAATTTGTCATTCAATGTCGATTTTTGCTTTGTTGTGTAGTGATTCATACAAATTACTATGTTTCTGCTTCTGGTTTTTTGTTTTGTTTGAAATTGATAATAGAATTTTATAAAACAAACACACACACACACACAACTAACAAGAATAGAATTGACTTTATTTCTAAACAGTGAAAGAAAAAAGACATTGAAAACAAACGACATTCACACTAAAATAATTCATATCATATGGATTGTGTTGAATGAAGAAAGAATATATTGAAGAAGATACCATACATTTAACCTTATAGTCATCATCATTGACAATAACAACAAGAGAAGAAAAAAATAATCATTTCGAAAATTTTACACAGAATTATAACATTTTTTTTTATTCATTCTTGTAAAATGCAGACGAATTTTTTGTTGTTGTTTTCTTCCTGAATTATATGGCTTTTTATTTTCTTTGATAAAATACATTGATGACAATCTCTCTATAGATATAGACCATATAGGAATGATATTCTTTGAGTAAATAATACCCTATTATATATAAATTCTATGGCTACTAATAAACTACTACAACAAATACTATTTATCAATTTTATTTTATAATAATATTATTATTCTCGAAAAAAAAGTTAATCTTGTCATCAATATACAATGATTATTATTTATTTATGATGATTTATTGATGATGACAAGAATCCCAAAAAAAAGGTATGTATGGATTGTAGACAAAACATAAATCAAATAACCAAGAATATTCGGGTTATAATTTTCAAAATGAAAACACATAAAGATACAAAGTATTGTTTTTTTACTTACAAAATCCAACAAAAACAGACCAAATATTGAATTGATTTTTGAAAAAAAAATAATTACTGATGATTGTCACACACACACACACAAAGTGTTAGAATGTTTGATACTAAGTTTATTTAAATATATAATATAAAATGGATACAATAAATAACAAAAAAATTTATCAATTTGTATTTATCTCAATGTTTGCAACGTGTACATGTTTGTTATGTACCAATTTTGTCGATATAATGATATATCTGTCCAAATGACAGAAACATTCGAAAATTTATTTGAAAGAAAATTGATTGATTCGAATTCAAGAAATAGGCAAACGCAGATCGATTGATTTTTTTGAACAAGACAAAAACAGAAACAAAATTTTTTTTTCAATCATCAAATAATGAACGGAACAAAAAAAAAGTACATGTTTTGGATAAGAAAACTTTTCCTTGTGATGAAAAAAGAAGGAGAAAGTCAAGAGAGAAAATCAAAAGATTTCTTCATCTTATTTCATTCAAATGAAAAAAAAAATAGAAATTATTTTCAATCATTTGGAGATTCCCAATCGTTGTCGCTATCAAGGTCAATTTAGAAGGCGGGTACCCAACAGAAAAAAAAACATCATTATTTTTTTTTGAGATAAAAAATTCAATAACAACGACGACAACAAGTGTTAAGCATCATATTTTTTTAATGGGAAAAAAATTCAAATGTTTTTTTTCTAAGTACAAGTTACAAGTAAAAAAATTCATTTTAATGAAGAAAAACAGGTTCCTAGAAATAGGAAAACAAAAAATTCCTAATCTTTTGTGTATTTAGGTTGTTTGCTTGTTTTGTATTTGGGTCAACAAAAACAACAACTTTCTCGTATTTCAAACAAAATTCTTATGTGATAAGATTAAATGAACAACAACAACAACAACAATATTACAATATTAGGAGAGGATTACGGGACAAACATTCAATTATTAATGAAAAAAACTTACCCGAAGATGTGAATTGTTGAATTATTGATTATTATTTAAAAAAATATGATTTTGTAACAATATGGAATTATTATTATCGAATATATATAGATTTTTTTCGGGTTGAACAACAATAAATAATTTCCGTATATAAAAACTTGATAGATTTTTTTTTGTTGAAAAAATAAATTAGAACAGAAAAATAGCCATCACATTCGATTCATTTGGTTGTTTACAAATGTTTCAGATAAAATTACTTATAGATAACATATGATTATTATCTGCCATTATATGCAATGGTGTTAATGATAATGATGATAATAATAAAAATAGATTTATTGATCAAAAAACATCGCGATCAAAAACGATCGAACGTTTTCAATAATAATGATGATGATGATCGTTCGATCGATCGAACGATTGATGATGATCAAAAAAAAATGTCAAATGTGATCTGGAAAAAAATGGATAAATGGCGCTATCTAGTGGACATTTATTCTGTTCCAAAAAAATACACACTCGTATCGTCAATATTTTTTGTGAAACATCATCATCATCGAAACTTTTTTTTCCATTTCTTGTCATCTAATTCGGATTCTGTTTATCAATTTGTGTTTGTGTGTGTGTTCAGGTATTCAAACATTATTGAATTGAAGAATTTCTTTTATTCTGTGAAGAAAAAAACACAATGATTAAAGCCATTTTAGTATTCAATAATCATGGAAAGCCACGTTTAACAAAATTTTATGAATTTTATGTAAGTTTTTCCTGAAATTGAATCAAATTTCATTTCAATTTTCTTCATATGGTATAGCCCGAAGATTTACAACAACAAATTATTAAAGAAACATTTCAATTAGTTTCAAAACGTGATGAAAATGTTTGTAATTTTCTTGAAGGTGGCAGGTAAATTATTTGATTTTCATTTAATATTTATAATTTCTAATGATGATAATTTTCTTGTTCAAAACTAGTTTAATCGGTGGTTCAGATTATAAACTAATCTATCGTCATTATGCAACATTATATTTTGTATTCTGTGTTGATTCAAGTGAATCTGAATTAGGAATATTGGATTTGATTCAAGTATTTGTTGAAACATTGGATAAATGTTTTGAAAATGTTTGCGAATTGGATTTAATATTTCATGTTGATAAAGTATGTTTCGTTTCGTTTTGTTTATCCGGAATTTTTCTCTGACAATTTTTCCTAATTTCTTTAGGTACATCATATTCTAAATGAATTAGTTATGGGTGGTATGGTATTGGAAACAAGCATGTCGGAAATTATTACCCGTATTGAAGAACAAAATTCATTGGAAAAACAAGAGGTTAGTTTTTTGTTGAATATTCTACATTCTTGAAATTGAATTGAAAAGAAATGAAAAATTTTAAAATTATTAAAACGAAATTCATTTTTTTTTTCAACCATTCCGTCGTTTACGAACAAGCCTGTCTGTCTGTCTGTCTTTCCCTCTTATTTTTTTTCCACCCGTTTTTTTTTTGTTGTTTGGTTTTGTTGATTTTTCGTTTCAATTTCTTGAATTTTTTCAAACAAAAAAATTTTTTTTTATTTTCCCATTTGGGAATTTTTTTTTTCTACTTCGTTAGATGGGAATCAGTGCAGCACCAGCAAGAGCAGTATCAGCTGTAAAAAATATGAATCTTTCACAACAATTTCGTGATATTAAATTACCCGATTTATCAAATATTGGTTCATTGAAATTTTGAAATTTTTTTGTTTTCTTTAAAAACGAAAAACTAATTCGATTTAGAAAATCATCATTGCATTTTTATTATTTATTTACTTTGTTTGTTTGTTTGTTTATCGTCATCATTCACCATTAAACTCAAATTCGAACATTTTCATTTCTGCCTAAATTTTTTTCCAATCAAAAATGATTAAATTAAAAGCATCATCAAAAATACCATCGGCATCAGTATCATCGGCCACAAATCAATCACCATCATCATCATTGTTGGATAAAACAACAACAACAACAAAATCATCAAAATTAAATAATAGTTCAGAATTATTATCAAGATTAGAACCAATAAATTGGTTATGTTCAATAAATACTATTGTAAATGGTCGTTCGACAACAATTTTAATAAAATATTTATATGATGAACAACAAAAATCATATGCAATTTTATTATCAGATTTTGCACAAACATATTTTGAATGTTCAACATCGGAACAGATTGAAAAAAATTATCAAAAATATAATAAAATACGTTTACAATCAACCGATTCCATTCATTCATCATTAAAATTATTAATGGAAAATATGCCCAATACAATTAAAAATATTGAAAAAATTTCTGTTGATTGTCATACAACAAGAATAACATTACGTTGTACAAAACAAATAACAACAACATTTTGTTTAAAATGGACATTTCATATTATTTCAACTGAAGAAGATATATTTTTAAAACATTTTTCATTACCAATGTTTCGTGGTCTAATGTATTATTATAATCTTAGTCATCAACAACAACAATCACAACAGCAAGCTGAAAATCAAGATGAAGATGTTGTTATGATCCAAGAACCATCATCAGTGAATAATGGTCATGATGAAATCGTTCAACCGATGACAGGAACTGAAACGAAAATGCTGAAAACAGAATCAACAACAATTCAAAATGCATTCAATTTTGTTATTAATGATAATATTTTGAATGAAATTTTTCGTTTAAATTGAAAATTTATGTATAGAGAGAATATTCATTTTCATTTGCACGAACAAACATACACATCATATTAAACATATACACACACACACACACACTTGGCATATTTCAAATTTTTTTTAATATTAAAAATTTATTTTCATTCAGAATAATTCTTGAATTTTGATCACACAGTAAGTGGCTTTTACAACTTTTGCCATCATTAAATTTAAAGCAATCAATCAATCGGTTTTTGGTTGCCTATCGTTTCAAATCATCATCATCGTATTTGATTTGTTTCTTCAAAAAGAAAATTTCCAATGCCAAATTGATCGATACGTTTAATTCAAGTTGTTTTTTTTGTTTGATGGTTGCACGCACACAATATTCGTAGTTAAAATACTTCTAAAAATATTTAAAAATAATTTATTTAATCGATTGATTTTTTTCTTTGCAGAGCGAAGAGAAAAACCTCCAAAAAAATTAATCAATATTGAGAGAATTTTTGATTTTGATTTTTTCGAATCAAAAAAAGAAGAATTTTGTAGTAGCAGTACAGCCGAATACTGATTAAATTACGCAGTGGTTTTCAAAATGATGTTTGCAACAGTGTCCAAAGGGATCCATCCAATGTGTTGATCGGTTGAGAATCATTGTCCTCAATATCTTGTTCCATAAGGTAGTGGTATTGATCATAGTAGTGTGGGGGAATCCAGAATGTTATTACCGAACAATATACACACATTGAAACTCGCGTGTTACACAACAACTGCATATGATCCATCCCCCATGTATATACAGACATTCTTTATAATTTTTTTTTCACTTGCATCATCATCATCAAAATATCATTGAGATAATTTTTGGTTTGACTAAAAATGATAATTTTTTTGTAAATTTGTTGTTGTTGTTGTAGTAGTGGTGATGATAATGATGATAATAATGAAGATGATTGTAATCACTTTGATTATGTTGTTTTTCTCATTGGATAATCATCAATAAATGATGCAAGTATTTTCATCGTCGTTATCGTTGTTGTTGTTATTGCCGTTTAAAATTTTCTTAACTTTATATAATGATCACGAGCAAAAAGACACCCAAAAAAACAAAATCAAGTTTTGATCCCAAAACATATTGGACGATTTTTGTTTGTTTGTTTGCTTCTCAAATCAATTAATTGATTGATTGATTTTATCGATCATATTTGATACATCATCATCATCAACATTTTGTCGGTTCCTGTTGTCGTCATTCGACATTTTTCGTCATCATCATTATCATTAGTTGTTTGTGTTGTTGTTGTTGTTTTTTTCCAATGATTTTCATTCGAAAAAAAACAAAAGTTTTTTTTTAAATTTCAACAAAATTTCTTTTTTGATCAGATGATTTTGTCGGTTGTTATAATCGATAATTATCCGATAATGTAATTTAATTTATTATTGTCAAATTACGTCGACAACGAAGAAGAATCAATTTGAATCAAATAAAATATTCTTCGTTTTCGAATCGACAAAAATTTCTGTAAGTTTTACAAGTTGAAACAGTTTTTTTGGTCAATTTTCGGTTTTGATGTTTTTTGTTTTTGTTGCAGATATTGTTCAATCATCATTCATCAACATTATCATTATGAATTTGGCACCAAATCATTATTCCAATATTATCTATTTAAATGGACATAAAAATCCATTTGATCGACAATTTGAATTGGCATTAAAAAATCGTATCGATCAATCACCATCGACAACAACATTGTCAGATGGAAATAGTAATAATCAATTATCGATTTGTTGTTCATCACCATTGAATACACCATTAATACAACCGGATACAGCATTGAATCCAACAATTGGTTCTGATATTGTTAATGTTGGTGATCCAATTTCATCTACAGCTATTACAACAGCACAAATAACAACATTAATATTGGAAAGTGAAATTAATGATGATAATAATTCTGTTGTTGTTGATAATAATAATAATAATAATAATAATAATAATGATCATCAAAATTGTAAAGAAACATCATTATCAAATTGTTGCCATACGATTAATGATAATATCGATTCAAATAATAATAAACATCGATCAAATGCTGTATCGGTCATTTGTCCACCACCATCATCTAAAGATGGTTTTCAATGTAAAATCCGATCAGCACCAGTGATACTTGAAAGTGCCAATAATAATAATAATAATGATGATGATGATTGTTCGAATGGAATATCAAATCATCAAGATGATGATTCAATACAGAATCCAACGATTCGAAAACGTAAACGAACATCAACAATTGTTGAAGAAAATGTTGATTATCCTGCCGCCAAAATTTCAACAACAACTTCGACCACGAAAATCATACCTCATCATCATGATCATATTACGGAAAAACAATTATTACCTCCACCATCTACCTTACCTTTACCGCCTTCGCAATCAATTCAATCATTAACAGACATAAATTCTAATTTAAATCTAATTGATTTTCATTCTCAATCTTCAAATAATAATCGAATGTTGACCAATACTGATGATAATTTTAATTTTATTAATACAACATTTTCATCATCATCAATTTTACCACAATCATCATATGATAATTTATGTTCAACAACAACAACAAATTATGTAAAAATTTTACCAAAACATTCAATTGATCCATCCATTGATTCAAATTCGAATAGTAATAGTTGTAGTTTATCACCATCATCATCAACACAATCAAGCGGAAATAGTATAGAATTAATTCATTCAAAACTTTCTAATCGTCTTCCATCATCATCATCATCATCACGTAGAAAAGAAAAAACAATGGATGAATTAATTAATAAAATTAAAGCAACTGAAGCTGCATTACCACCACGTGCAAAACCTGGCCGTAAAAGTAAATCGGCTACTGAAGAAGATTCAAAAGAAAAAAAACGTTTATCACTTGAACGTAATCGTGCTGCTGCAATGCGTTGTCGTTTGAAAAAGAAAAAAGAAATTGATGAATTGAAAAATCGTGTCAGTAAATATGAACAACAAAATCAACAATTAAAAGTATGTATTTCAAAATGATTATGATGATGATTTTAAATTGATTTTAAACTTTTTTTTTATAAAAAAAAATAGAAAATTATCGATAAATTATGCAAGGAAGTTACCTATCTGAAAAATGAATTATTACAGCACAAAGATTGTAATTGATCATCATTATTCATTATATAATTTGTTTTGATTGTTTTGTTTCGCGTTCAAATCGCTTTGCTTCGACCAATTTAAAAAAAAAAACAAAGATATTAATTTTTTTAAAAATAATCATAATTCCTGTTGTTAATAATAATAAATGAATATTTTATTATTTTATCATATTTTTTACTATCAACATTTTTCAATTAATAATAATGATACAATTCGTGACTAAATTTCGTTTTTTTATCAACGAATTTTTTATCATTTTTCAAATAAAATCAACGAAGTTGATCCAATGGAATATTAACTTTACGTGGTGGTGGTGATAAAAATTCAAATGTACCATTCATTGAACAATAGCCCATAGCTGAAAGCAAAAACAATGCAGATAAACCAAGCATTTTATTGTATTTAGATTGTCGAGCTGAATAGGCTTCTGAATATAGTTGATTCGGTACCGGATAACCCTTATTCATATCCAATCGAACCAAATGACGATATTTCTCCGGTACATCATGACTGGACATGTTTCGACGATTCAAACGAATCAAACGTAAACGAGACAATAATCTTGAAGCTCCAAATGACATCATTTTTTGATTTTTTTTCTGGTCAAAAGAAAATTGTTAAAGTTTTCGAAACAACCAACGAGCTAAATAAACAAAACCGATGAGCTTTTTCTTTCGTTTCTTATGATGCCCTTCACACGCACATTAATGATGAACGAATTAATCGATTGGCAACAATTTCGATAATCGATTGTTTTTTTATGAGCTCGCGCTTTTTTTCATCGAAAACAAAATTTTTCTTGTTGATCAAAACACATTTGTTAGATCAATGGCCAGTAATTCCGATTTTACTATACCACTAAATGTGGTAACGAAAATCATAGCCGAATCATTACCGGATGAATCTACAGGTATTCTTTTTTTTTCAGTTTTAAATGAATTTTTTTGAAATTTTTTCATTTTTTTCAGTAACGGTCGAACAAGATTTTATCAAAGCATTAGCACGTGCAGCACATCTTTTCATACTTTATTCGACTACACGTGCAAACGAAGTGGCCGAAGAAAATAATCGACGAACCGTTCATTCACAGGATGTATTAAGTGCTATTTCATTTTATGGATTTGATCATCTAATACCGAAACTGATTAGTTGGCATCGAACTTATGTGGAGGAAAAAGAACTACTCAAATCTAAACGAAAAAAATCTAATCATCATGAAGAATCGACAACTATTTCCAGTGATCAAATGGAAGTTGAAATCATAACCAATGATCATCTTGATCATTCCGAAACTATTGAAGAAGATGGACAATTTGAAAATTGTGAAGATTAATTCTTATATGATGTTATTAATTAATCATTAATTATTTTTTTAAAAAACTATAATCATCATCATCAATTTGTAAATTAAATTTTATCCTGATTATCATGAAAAATAGTTTTCTGTTCTAAAATTCTAAAAAAAAAAATTCTAAAAATTCTATGCTACTTAAATGCCATCTATTGCCAATTGAATCGGTTCGGTTTGGTCACTTTTTTCTCAATTATTTCATTTTATCGAATGCCCTTGATTTTTTAGTTTGTGATTTTATTTCAACAAACGATCATTTTATAAATGATCAAAAATACCCTTAAAATGTGGCCTAAAATCATTTTATTCGGTGATTCACATACACAACGTAGTTTTGATCCAAACAATGGATGTTGGGGTGCTTTATTAGCCAATAAATTTCAAAGGTTTGTTTTGGATTAATTTTTTCTCCAATATAATTTACATCATTACTCATTGATTTTATCAAAGAGTTTGCGATATAGTACCGAGAGGTTTTTCGGGTTACAATACCAGGTGGTGTAAAATGATAATGCCGAAAATATTCGCACAATTTAAAGCTGAAGAGATTGCTTGTGTAACAATTTTACTTGGTTCAAATGATTCGGTACCAGCTTCAAGTGTTACCGGACAACATGTACCCGTTGATGAATATCGTAAAAATCTGATAGCAATGTTAAATCATCTAACATCCAAAGGTATTGATAAAGATAAAATCATATTGATTACACCGCCACACATGCATCAAACAATATTCAAAGCTTGGTCATTCGAACAAAATCGTCCTATCATACCGGAAACATGGGAAAAAGATCTAATCAAATATGTGGATGCTTGTCGATCGGTTGCAAAAGAAATGAACATATCATTATTAGATCTATACAAAATTTTTATGGCCGTTAAAGATAATAATGAAAAATTATTCAATGATGGTTTACATCTATCACGTGATGGTGGTCAATTACTTTATGATAATTTATTACCATTAATAACTGAACGTGTTGTTCGTATCACCGGTAAACCACTTACCGATCAATCGATGCAATATCCTTATTGGAGAGATGTGGATGTTAATAATCCGGAAAAATCACTTCTTCGTCCTTGAATTGTTTGGATTAATGGATGACTGACCAAAAAAAATAATTCAATTTTCATGATACAAACAAATCACCCTTAAAATCTAAATCATATCAACATATATAGTCATTTTATTGGCTTTTTTTAACGATTTTCAATTTTAATATTTTAATTTTTTGTTTTTTCTTTGTGTGTGTTTGTGTTTGATGTGTGAATTGTTTGATGTTCAATAATAAATTTAGAAACAAAAATAGTTGAATAATATTAATATGATGATTGATTGTGCATATTTATTTTTTTTTGTGTTTGTTTTTTTTTAAAGAAAAACATTTGGATCGGAACGTGGATTTTTCTGATTACGATATCGTACTGTTAACCAAACACCAATAAATTCGGTAAAACTAAAAAACATACCGGTCCAGCCGGCAACATGTAATACATCACCAATTGCTTGTTGTATTTTTAATTCACAATCCGAACATTGTTGACAATCATTTGTTTGACAACAATTTACTTTTGGACAATATTCCGAATTTTTTGGATCATCCGATTGAAATCCACAACAATCAAATATACGTTGTAATTGTTGATGATTTTCAATTGTTGATGAATACCATTCTTTATCAGCTAATTCACGTTGTTCGGTTGTATTGAATGCAAGACATGCACATGCAATACTAAATTGTGCCACAAATAATATGAATAAAATCACCATATACTATAGTAAATGATAAAAAATGATGTCATCAAAATTAAAATTAAATTGAAAAAATAATAATTTTTTAGAAAACTTACAAAAAATAACATAACCTGATTATGTTTAGCCGTACCAACAAGGCCTAACATTGAAAGTATGAATAAGAATACACCACATGCAAAAATACCTTCGATTATTGTTATATCGGTAATCTGTATGATTGTTTTACCATAAGTTGCAACTGTAATCAATATGAACGATACAACCTTTTGGTTTTCAAAAAAATAGGTTAGAAAAGCAATAATCAAATGAGATTACTTACAATATAAAGAAGGTTAAGCGCTTTAAGCGAATTTTTTGTACAGGTAAATCCACCGCACATTTTTGTTTGTTTTTTTTTTGTTTGTTTCTGGTATTTAAATATTCACCTTAATCATGGAAATTAATGACTTTTTTGCTCAACGATCCAATTGGTTTAATAACACAAATGAATTTGAGACCCGAAAAAAATGAATGTGGGAAAAAAACTGCCAACAAGGCTCGATATTCAAGCTATAAATGGAACGACAAAACCACTTTGTTTAACCAAAAATAGTCGATCGATTCGTTTATTGGATCGGAGTGTAAATAAGGTAGCTCATACGTCTCATACAAGAATTGAATCCACGAAAAAAAAATTGACAACAAAATATATAAATAGCAAAGAATAACAAAATCCAAAACTGAAAAAGGAAATTGTCAAAAAAAAATAATGCGCAAGATCCTGACATTTTTATCTAATTTGATTATAGCATGATTCTATATAGTTACAAACGATTCTTTAAAGTACATTTCTAAATGGCGTCTTGTTATCGTCATGATTAACAACAACAACGAAAACAACAATTTTGGAAATGGTGTGGGGGCTGGCAAACATCATTTCCTGGCTGCCTGTTTTTAATCGATTTCCTTGATTCAAGTTTGAATTGAATTTGCAAAAAAAAGTTTTTGAAACAATCTTCTTTTGTTTCAAATCAAGCATCTGAACTATTAAAAAATAGCCAACACCTTTAACATCAACAATATGTCAGTTTTGAGTAAATTTTTTATTTTCACATTAATCCAATATTTATAAAAACAAAAAAGAAAAAATAAATATAGCCCCTATTGACAATGAAAATTTCATTGGATAAGAAAAAAAAAATTTTTAAATTATTCTTATCAGCATCGTCATCATCATTATTATTGATAATTGATCACAGCATTCAACAACAAAAAAAGAAGAGAAAAAGCATGCGACAAAATGATAAATATGATGATGATAATGATAATAATACCTATACTTTTTTTTAATATTAGAATTTTTTTTTCATTACCCGAGAATATTAATAAAAGATTTACAGAATTTTTGTTTTGCACATATATAAATCAAAATACACACATATAAACTAAAAATACACACAATAGACATTGTTTTTTTGAACAAATTATTCCTAATAAATTTAGGATTGATTGATTGATGATTGATTTATACACAATTATTTAGGTATAACTGGACTAAGTAAATGTTGTTGTAATGTTGGTGCCGATATTATTGGTGGACTTGAATTTTTTGCCAAAAAATTCATCTGTTTTGGTTCACAACTTGTTACTTCAACATTAACCGATACAGGTGGACAACTTTGATCCGGTATTAAATCATTTTGATTAAAATGTACAGTTGTTGTATTATGATTTGTTTGTAATGATGATGATGATGATGTATGTCCAATATTGATCATTCTATTATTTGATTGTCGTGATAATGGCAGATTATTATTACTGGTCATTGTTGTTGGTGATAATAATTCGGCTTTTATTGATGATAATTGTAAATTATTATTACCATTAGTATTTGTCATCGATGATGCTGAAACATGAATATAATTTGAATTCGATGATGATGATGATGATGAAGTAGTAGAATTCATATCATTAAATGTCTCCGATTTTTGATGTATGATTGATGTCATCATTTCATTATCATGTTGTTGTTGTTGTTGATAATGATTGTTCTGTGCATATTGATGCTGAACACCGCCAGAATGATGTGTATTCTGATGACTTTTAAGTCCATGACTAGTTTTATAAATTTTTCCACAAATACAACGATAGATTTTCCTATTACTAAACAAATAGGAAAATGTTTTTTTTAGAATCAAATAAACATTTTTAAAAAATTCACATACTTTTCATCAAGCATTGGTTTTATGGCCAGTGTTTTCGGTGTCATCGGATGACCATTTGATTGGCCATTATTATTTTGATTACCACAACCGTTGTTGTTGTTGCCAGCCATTGTCATCTTATTATCCTTATTAATATGTGCTGTTCGTTTATGATGACTTAAACTATTCGAGGTACGATATTGTTTATTACAACCTTGCCATGTACAATGATAAAGCCGCTTTTCATCGATATTTTTTCCACCACCATTATTTATCATCATTTTCGATGAATTTGTAATCATTTGTCCATTGCCATTCATTGTTGTACATACATTCTGCAAACCGTTGACATTTGTCGTTTGTTCGATTGTTGGCGATGATGATACATTTGAGCCCATAATTTGATGAAATCTTCGTTGTTTTTTTTTGGAGTGACACACACAGCATAGCATCATTAATTATAGATTTTTTATACAATTAAAAAAAATGGACAACAATTACTTAGTCAATGCATTGGTGTTTGTTGTATCAACATTTGCCCATGAATCGATTGAACTTTGGCCCGAATCACTTTCGAATCCAGCATCATCATCAAGTTCACTACCTTCTAAGGTAAATTAAAAAAAGAAAAATTAACAAAAGGAATGAAATCATTTTTTTTCAATTACACGTTACCTGTAGGTGTTGTACTTAATGATGCAGCCGGTGAATTGATTGATTTTCTTACATGATGATGATGTCCATGATGACCATTATGATAATTATTATTTTGATTATTATGAGAATCATTCAATGAATTCGAATCAATCATACCACCACCATTATTTAAATCATTACCATCATTGGAAAAAATTCTGTAAAACAGGAAAAAAAATATGTATTTTTTTTTTATTTCCAGGAAAAAAAACAGTTATTATAATTTTTAATTACTTACCTTAAAACACAGCTAACCGGCATACAATTAGTGTTTGATGGATTTTTTTGTGGTGTATTATCAATTGCATCGACATCTTTTTTTTAAAAAAAAAGAATTAGTCAAAAAAAAATGCATTAATAAGCAATAAGGAAATGGGAAAAAAAGAAATCCAATCACTAACCTAAATGATGATCTTCAATATGTCTGATTAATTCGGTTAATGATGCAAATTTTATACCACAAGAATTAAATGTACAAACATTTGATAAGAAAACGGCCATTTTGATTATTTTGAATTTTTTTAAAATTATCGATTCTGAGAAAAAAATTTAAAAATTTCTACATTCAAATCATTACATTGAATATAAATCTACTAAAAGCCGCAATATTTTTTTTTACGTTTCTAAAATCAGAATTATTGTGGCCTATATGAATGAATGAATGAATGAGATGATTGCTTCTTGCGTTGCTTGTGTTGTTATATTTTTAGATAAATAATAATCAAAAAACAAACGCAGAGTGAAATATCAAAAGAAGAAAAAAAACGACGACGTAATTATCTCGTTGTTGTTGTTGATGTTGTATACAATGAGAAACGTTTTCTGGTTATTAAAAAACAGTTAAAATTCTTTCAAAACAACATTTTGAAAACGGCTTATCAGGGTATCCTCTTCTTTTTCACACTCTTTGTAAATTAGTGATTGATTGTTTGGTGATTTGCTGATTGTTGATATCCTATCAAATGAAATATTGTCGTTAACTGAATTTTCAATTAATCAATCAATCAGTTGATGAGTTACTTTGTTATTGATAATCAGATTGGGGATTTTCTTTTTCGGATTCGTAATTTGTTGTTGTTGATATTGTTTCGAAATTATTTATTTGGATGGATTTGATTTGAATCGAGTTTTTTTGATATGTTTCAATGATTGAATAAAGCGAATTTTTTAACTTTATCGAATTTAATTTTGAAAACGAACAATATGGCGTTATTTATATACAGTATGGCTCAAATACCGGTCGAACTTTGTTTGTTAATTATCGATCGATCTTGATGAGTTTACAATATTTCCATTGAAAAATAAAAGCGAGAGAAAAATTATTCAAATTTACAGGTAATTCGATCAAACAGGAAAAAAACCGCAAAAATTTTTTTTTACAATTTTGAAATGAGAATATAATGAATTCCCGGATAAAATTGGTTAGTTTATCGAGATGATTATTATCATTGAAAAGAATTTGTCGAATTGCCCTAAAGAATTTGGATGTTCAACGAAAAAAAAGAAAAGAAAAGAAAAGCGGGAGAGAGATTTTCTCTTGATTTTTTTTTCTGGTCAAATCAAACGACGAAATAGAAAAATATGGTTAGTAGCGACACCTAACCAAGAAATTTTTACGTTCGTTTCGCTATATAATTTTTTTTTTGAGTTCGAAAAAGAATATCGCGTTTTGAAGAATGATGGCGGCGATGATGATGATGATGACGGGAGGAGGGGAATTATTTTGCGAAAGAAAACCAGTTCACCCCGAGTCACCGGGTGACGTTATCGCAACCAAAAAATATGAAAAAAAGAAAATAATTCTCGAATGAACAAAACAAATCAAAAGTCGCTGATGAATGATGTTTCGTTTTCAATCATATTAAACTGCGCAAATGCGTAGTAAATTTTTTTCCGGCTTCGAATTCGTTTTTTCTTTTTTGCTCATCATTTTTACGCATGCTCAAAATCAATCGAAAAAGATTTTCTAATTTTTTTCTTCTCTATTTTTTTTGAGAGAATTCAATATTCCGGATTCAGGAATTTTTTGTTTTGATCAGTTGATTCTCAGAAATTTTCGATCAAAAAATTGATTCAGATTTAGAATTGGAACAAAACCAAATCGAATTGGATTTTTTCGGATTAATCGTTTCACCGAACAAAATACCGGCTTGTTTTTTTCAGAATTCAGCAATTCTATACGTTGATTATTAAATGTTATTTCTCTTTAAACGAACAGATTATTTTCCTTTCCATTCAACATTAATCGATTCAATTCAGTCGACAGATTAGATTTGAAAAATGTGGCGAAAATTTGAAAAAAAAACTTGAAAAAAAATTTCATAACATTTTATATGAACGGAATCACAATTTGATAACATTGTACACCAAAAAAAGGTGACGCATGCTCATCGATATCGTTGAGAAAAAAAAGAACTGAATAAAAAGCACACAACCAACGTTTGTACAAAATAACACCGACTGAGAGTTCTCCTTCATCTTCCCTTTTGCCCTCTAAGCAAAGAACCAATTTTTTTTTTTATATTTTCTTGTTAACGAAAAAAATCATCATCATTGCCTAAAAAGCCATAAGCCGTCGTACTATTGTGCACACACGTTGTCTTGTTCTATTCCCTGAATTTTTAGTTTGTTTGATTTTTTTTTGTTTCATCTAAAAAAATCCATCCTGTTCCAAATGTAATTATTATCTTAAAATACAAATTGAATTTACTAATTATTTCGAAACAATCAATGTCCAATTTGATGCGATACATGAATGTTTGTTTTCGTTATTGCCATTAGATTTTCGATCTTTGGTCATTCGATTAATTTGTTCTATAATTAATGATTTGATCACTTATTTGTTCAAACCACATGTTTGATTTATTTGATTAAAATTTCTAATCTTTTTTTTCTGGTTCTAATCTTTTTGAATATCTAGATATCGATTTAACAAAAATGGCTTACCTTCAATCAACTCGTGTTTCAAACCACATTATTCGATCAATGGTATTTATATATTAATAAAACACACATCATACAGTATCAATGACCTTTTTGTCCTTTCTTTATTTTTTTGATGAATCTTTAGCTTTTGGGCCGATCAAGTGTTCGTTGTATGTCCGGTAGCATTCAACAACAAATAAATGTTACAAATGAAAAATTAAACACATCATCATCATCATTGATTCCCAGTCGTGGTTTGCATACATCATTGGTACGACGAGATATTGATTCAGCAGCCAAATTTATTGGTGCTGGTGCTGCTACAGTCGGTGTTGCTGGTTCAGGTGCCGGTATTGGTTCTGTATTTGGTGGTTTAGTTGTCGGTTATGCTAGAAATCCATCGCTCAAACAACAACTTTTCTCATATGCCATTTTAGGTTTCGCCTTATCCGAAGCTATGGGTCTTTTCTGTCTTATGATGGCTTTCCTTTTATTGTTTGCTTTCTAAATAAAAAAATCCTGAATCGGTAAACATACACCCAATACATTCAATACAAACACACACAAACATACACCAACCACCTTCAAATCATAAAACATTTTTAAAAAAACAATAATGACCATCAAAATATCTTAACATCAATTTTGTATGTAGGGTCATTTTTTTACCTTAACAACAACAACAACAATATGGGAAGCATCAGCAAAAGCAGAAATAATAAAATATATAAAAAAACGTGTAATGTAATGGAAAGAATAAGTTGAAAAAAAAAATTATTACAAAATTTTTGTTCACAAGAAAAAAAAATTTATTCATAATTTGGTAATTAATAAAAAATTGAATTAGTTGAAAAAAAAACATTGTTGCATTTTATAACTTTGATTATTTTTTGTGTTTGTGATGGATGTGTTGATCAGTATTATTATTATGCTGTGTTTGTAATAAGATTGGTTTCAATGATACTTGGTTTCTTGTTTGTTTGTTTTGTTTTTTCAAACATGAACATGTGGATTAACAACCGATATAAGACCTTTAAAAAATGTATCATATTTTCTTACAACTGTACCACGAAATACAACCTGACCACTTAAACCACCTTGATGATTAACACTACCGGTATTTAATGGTGCATTCCAAACCAAATTTGCTGCTTTTTTATTTCTATTTTTTTGTATTTTGAAGAAAAGAAGAAAAACAAAAATTGGTTTTCAAGGTTTTTAATTCAATTTTGAAATCAAAAAAAATAACTTAAAAATTGCTTCAAATTGATAAAATCACCACCAAACACCAAATATACATTCAAGGATCATTTTTTTTTGTAATTTGATTTTTGTAATATAAATTTCATTCGTGATTTTATTAAAATTTCAAAATTTTCAAAAAAAAAAATTTCACTAACCTGTTGTCCGAATGTGTTACAGCCGAACAGCTATCAATCACTTTTAGGCCAGTTCCTTGGGAAAATTTGCCAATAGCTAATATAGATTTTTTTTTTTGTTTTGTTTTGGAAATAAAAAGATAATTGAAATCAAAAAAAAAAACTTTTTTGAAATAAAAAATCAAAAATACTTTTGCCCGTTTCCGGATCCAATGCTTGAACGATCAATCCTTTGAATGGTATGTTGCTTGGTGATTTCAATACAACTAATAAATGAAAAGAAACAAATGAGAAAAGAAACATTATGGGAAAAAAAATTTACCTAAAATCTGATCACCAGGTCTATATTGTGAATTAGATTGTTCCAACATATATGGTGATTCATTTGCTTCTTTTGCCGGTTGGCCACCATGCCGTGGTAACAGTGTTGGACAAGTTTTTTCCGGTGCACCACTTGGCCATGATTTACATGATTCTAAAATAATCATTATTATTGATAAAATTAAAATTGATTTTTTATTATTCATAGTAGCCATATTGATGGTTGGGTTGATTTTTTGAAAACTAATCGATAATATATTGATGATTAATTTGATTGCAGAAAAAAATTTTCTGGTTTTTTATATTAGTTTTTGTTTTCTGGTCGGTCGTAACGAATCAAATCAAATCAGAATTTCAAATGTGTGTGTGTGTGTTTTCGATAAAGGCAACAAGTGACGATGCTTTGATGATGATATTTCACTAGAAAAACAAATCATGAATAACAAAAAATATTATCAAATTATGGTTATTTGAATATTGTTGTTGTTATTTATTATTATTGCGTTCGTGTCGATAGATGCGATGTTCACATCTCGAAGTAAAAATGTACAAGTAAAAAAATAAACAAAAATTTTGTTTTCCTCGATAATGTTGATGATGTGTGTTCTGTAAAAAAAACTGATGAAAATTTTCAAATAACAATAATGATTCGGAAATCATTTACCTGATAACATTTCTTTCAAATCAAAACGTCTTTCATCTTCAGGTTTTTGTTTTGTTTAATCTTTGATACAAAAAAATTCAAAGAGAACATTGAACAACAATAACAAAACTTTCAAACAACAAATAGTTGTGGTTTATTTAAGGGGGAGGATATTCACCAATGACCGAGGCCGAATATTTGGAAAGAGAAACATTTCAATTTCATTTCATTATGTTTTTTTAATATTTGATTGTTTCGTTTTCATTGACAGATTGAGAAAACAAAAACAAAAAAAAAAGAGAGAAAAAGATTCTGAAATTGGAACATGGATCGTTCGAATTGATTGAGTAGATTCTTGTGTAACATCATCATCATCATCAGAGTCATATCAGAAAGATGATAAAGGATTCAATTAAAATTAAATGTTATCATTATTATCAAGTCGTTTTTCATTGAAATATTTGGATGGCCATGATCATTTTCATTTTACAAAGCAAAAAAAAACATTGGCAACAAAAAAAAAGTTTGTCGATCCATTAACATGGATGATAATTTATTCAAATTCAATGAATGTAATAACATGGTCAAACGACTAGATCATGATCAAAATTGTAATGATCATTATAGCAAGGTTAATTCCATGGTCAGTTTTTTTTTGTTTTGAATGGTCATTGAAAAAATTTAATGAGAATTTTACAAAATTTTTTCAAATGAATTTTTTTTTTTCGTAAAAAAAATCCAAATTTGGATACGTACTCTCCGTATGGGTATACCACAGTCAGAAAAAAAATCCGAATCTTTTTTTTTTATTTTGACATCACGCGCGAGTCCAATTTGAACCGCTGTTTGAATCGGTTTCTAATGTTTTTAAAAATCAATTTAAAATTATTAAACCAACAACAACAAGGAAAAACGAAATGAAAAGTTTATCCATCAATTCAAATCAACAACAACAACGACCAAAAACATGTTCAAACAATGTTGATGGTAATCATAATAATAAAGAACAATTGATACGTATAATTCGTTTGGAAAGAGATAAATTAATTCAACGATTACAATATGAATCGGCTATATTTCTTTCGGATAAAATTATAGCCATTAATGGAATGAATATAAATGATGGTTTTATAATGATACATTGTATCTATTTATCAAAACAATATCAACGTGCAGCACATCTTTTACAACAAAATCGTTTACATGAAATGGATGTTAAATGTTGTTGTTTACTAGTCAAATGTTTGGTAAATCCTTTTATTATTATTGTTGTTGTTGTTGTTTTCATTTAAATTCTGATCTTCCTTTTTTTAATTACAATTTAAAATCTTTTAGATGAAAATTAAAAAATATAAAAAAGCCTTAACAATTATTGATTCATGTTTGAAAACAAGATTCGATGATTCAAAATGGCGTATACCATTATTTGTATTACGTAGTGAAGCATATGAATCATTGGATAATCGTATCGATGCACGTCAATCATTAATACAGGCATTGGAACAGAATTTTCTTTGCTATGAAGCATTCTATCGTATTACACATCATCATATGGCAACAAAAATTGAAGAATTAGATATTCTTTATAAATTAATTATAAAAAGTCGTTCAGAACGTTCAAAATTAATACGAAGTTTTATGACGGATTTTATGATATTTTTTTATTATATTCAATTGAAAAAATATGATAAACCAGATCGTTTAATCATACGTAAACCATTTCAATTGTTTGCCGAAAATGTTGATTTTTTAATCGCACAAGCCGAAAGACATTTCTATAATTTTGACCTAATACAAACATTAGAAATTACATCCAAGTATGGTTTTTTTATTATTTTTTTCTTTTGAAAATTAACAACAACAATTGTTTATTTATTTTATTTTGTTTCGTTCCGCTACAGGTTAATCGAAAAAGATCCACATAATTTTGAATGTCTTGAGATACATATCTCATGTTTGCTCAGCCTTGAAAGATCTATTGGTAATGTTTAGTTGTTTTATGATGAATGACATGTAACTTGAAAAATGTCAATGACCGTTATGTTTTTTTTGTTTTGTTTTTGTTTAAAAATTTTTCAGAATTATTTAAATTGTCACAAAATTTGATCGATCTATATCCGGAACATGAAATATCCTGGTATTCATTAGGCTGTTATTATCATCTGATCAAAAAGAAAGAAGTATCACGACGTTATCTACAGAAAGCAGTTACATTGAATAATGTATTTGCACCAGCTTGGTTACTATATGGCCATTCATTTTCCGATGATGGTGAACATGATCAAGTGATGGCAACATATTTTAAAGCATCACATTTAATGCCCGGTTGTCATTTACCATTACTTTATATTGGTGTTGAATATGCACGTACTGAAAATCATAAACTTGGTGAAAAATTTATCTTTACTGCATTAACAATTGCACCCGAAGATCCATTAGTATTACATGAACTTTCTGTTACAGCATTTCATTCGGATGAATTATTAAAAGCTGATCGTTATCTTCGACAAGCTTTACGTGTATTAAAATATATTGAAAACAAAGATGATATTCGTATACAATATGAACCATTATTTAGTAATATGGGTCATATACAAAGAAAATTAGGACGTTATAATGATGCGATTGAATTTTTTAAAAAATCCCTATCACTTTCACCAAATAATCCATCAACATATTCATCGATCGGTTTAGTTTATTGTATGTTGGATAAATATTCTGAAGCAGTCGATTATCTGGATCATGTAAGTATAATTTTTTTTAATGCAGATATTATCATACTTTTTTCTATTCATTCCAATAGGCATATGGATTAAATCGATTATTCAAACGTGATGATGTAACCAAAGATCTACTTGATGATGCACTTAAATTTTATCCGGATAGTTTACAATTACCACCACCAGCAGCATCTAGCCATTCAGATTTACCTGATTTAAATCAAAAATTATCTACATGGTCTGATTGTGATAATCGAATAGATTTTGCACGTAATCTTGCTAAATCGTCAACATCATCATCGATGGCTAATGAAAATCTTAAACAACAGAATAATAATGAAAATAATGATGATAGTATATTGATGATACGATAATAATAAAATTTTTTCGAATTTTCAAAAAAAAACGTCTTTTATGTACGGCTTGTGTATATCATCATGATGATATTGACACTCCCCGTGATCGTTTATTTTCTTCAGTAAACATGTTGCTTCAAAGATTTTTGTTTCATGACAAATCTTTTTGTTTATTTTTTATCGTGTTGAGGGCGGATTGATTGATCGTATTTTATTTTCATTTAAGTTGAATTTTATTCATTTTAACCATCGTTTTTTTTCTGGAACATCTATATCCAAATGAATCGAAACGATAATTATACAAATTCACCATTAAGTCCGGTATTGGAAATTAGTCTATCGGGTGATAATCCTGATGATATACCATTATTTCCCGGTGAAAAAATTGATTCAGAAATTAATGCTCGTGAAGTAACATATATTTGTCCATATGAAGGTGAAATACGAGGCCATCTTTATTTAACAAATTATAAATTATATTTTAAAAGTAATGAAGAACATGAAAAAACACGATTAGTACATGTACCATTGGGTACTATTAAAAAAATTGATAAATTTGGTGGTTCACAAACAAAAGGCAACAATGCTTATGGTATAATAATACATTGTAAAGATGTTCGAACATTAAAATTTGCACATAGCCCGGAAAATCATTCACGGCGTGATGTTTTCGAAAAACTACGTCAATATGCATTCCCATTAACCTATGCATCGACTAAGAATATGTTTTGTTTTGAATTTAAAGTAAGCTAATTCTTGTAACATGAATGAAATATTTGTAATAATTTTATAAATAGGTTACATATCCAGTTGATGGTTGGTCAATATATGAACCATTAGCTGAATATAGACGAATGAATTTACCGAATGAATCATGGCGTATAACAAAAATTAATGATAAATATAAACTATGTGATACATATCCAGCCATTTTAGTTGTACCACATAATGTTACTGATAATGATTTACAAGCTGTTGCAGCATTTCGTAGTCGTGCAAGATTACCGGTATTAAGCTGGATACATCCAGAATCACAAGCAAGTATTGTACGTTGTTCACAACCATTAACCGGTATTAGTGGACAACGTTCAACCGATGATGAAAAATATATACAAATGATAATGGATGCAAATGCACAATCACATAAAATATTTATTATGGATGCTAGACCACAAACAAATGCAATGGCTAATCGTACACGTGGTGGTGGTCTTGAAAATGAACATTTATATAATAATGCTGAAATACAATTTCTTGGTATTGCTTCGATTCATCCGATGCGTGAAAGTTTAAGAAAATTGACTGAACTTTGTTATGGAAATATTGATGATTCATTGTTTATGTTGGAATTGGAAAAATCACAATGGCTTAAACATATACAGATTATATTGAGTGGTGCTGTTCGAATTGTCGATAAAATTGAATATCAAAAAACATCGGTCGTTGTACATTGTAGTGATGGATGGGATCGAACATCACAGCTAACTAGTCTGGCCATGTTAATGTTGGATCCATATTATCGAACATTGACTGGTTTTCAAGTATTGATCGAAAAAGAATGGCTCAGTTTTGGTCATAAATTTGCTCAACGACTTGGTCATGGTGAAGATAAATCATCGGATGATAATCGTTCACCAGTATTTCTTCAATGGCTTGATTGTGTTTGGCAAATTCAACGACAATTTCCTACTGCTTTTGAATTTAATGAAACACTTTTGTTAGTTATTGCCGATCATATGTATTCATGTTTATTTGGAACATTTTTAGGTAATTCAGAATCAACACGTAAACGTGATGGTCTACCACAGAAAACCAAATCAATATGGTCAATGGTAAATACTTATCGAGATGAATTTCTAAATGCTTGCTATACAACAGCACCAACACCATACACAATTTCAATGACAGCATCATCAACTAAAGATTATGTTATTATACCACGTTGTGCTGCACCATTTATCGAAATATGGACAAGTTATTTTTGTCGTTGGAATATGAATATTTCACCACAATCAATTGATCAGATACGTTTACGAAACAAAGAATTATTAGCTATACGTGCTGCATTACAGAAAAAAGTTGAAGAATTACAGAATAAATATTCACGTCAATCAAATGCTGTATCGAATGCTGGTCATTCAAATTCATCTGGACCATCATCACCATCAAATTCACAGTTAACGAATACGAATCCAAATGCAAGAATTGTTAATATATAGAACGCCAAAAAATGATCAAGTAAGTTTCAACCAGCGAAAAAAACATTACATTAATAAAAAGGCAATTATTTGATGAAAATTTTTAAAAAAATATTGATTGCTTATTACATTAATTGGTTTTATAAGCAATAAGATTTAATGACTAATCTTCTCTCTGAAATCCTTAATTATTAACCTTATTTTTTTGATGGATGAAGTTCATGAAATTAAAAGGTTAATAATAAATATTGCCTACTTTGTCATTGCAATTTCTAATACATTTTCTTTATTGATTCTAATTTTAAATTTTTGTTTTTTTTTCTTTCTAATTCCTTATCATACATCAAATAGATTTATATGAATTTCATGGCGAGAAATATGATACCTACACATGTATACAACTGTACGATTGTACTAAACACATATTGACAATGTTAGATATATAAAAAAAAGTACAAACTTAACAGCAGCATCATCAGTATTATGGTAGGCGGAAAGCAAAATCCCAATCTCTTTTTTTTGGATCGTTGGCGGTTCCTCTATTTATATATTCTTCAAACATGTCAATCAATGTCGAATGTCATCATCCGAATGAAAAAAAAAATTATTAATCAAAATTCATTTTCATATAAAGGTGTAATGTTTATTCCAATTTTCATTTAATCAATAAAATTTTTTTTATTATTAATTTTCTTTATCAAATTTAATTTTTTGTTTTTTATTTTTTGTTTGAAAATCATGTCTGAATGGGTTATGTTTGGGCTATTGTGACCGAAAAATATTAATTATCATCATCATCATTGTCGTCGTCGAGGTCATCATAGTCGTCGTCGTCGTCGTCATTGTCATCATTGTAGATCGCAAATTTTTTAAATAACTTTCAAGTGTGTGTATTTCAGGTAAATACAGGTGTGTGTGTGTGTTTCACACCTTTTTTTTGTATTTGGAATGAATAAATGAAAACGGTGTGTGTGTGTTTGCGTCAAGAAAAAAACAAACAGAACAACAAACTATGTGTAGGCGTGTGTGGGGTGTATTAGACAAACATTTTCTTTTGAAAATTTTATTTCTTTTTGAAAATTAATTTTTTAAAAATTTGAAATTTTTTAAATTCAAATTTTTTTCTCGTTTTTAAAACTCAGATTTTGGTATTGGCGCTTGTTCACAAAACTGATGATTAATAACGGACATTTGATGTTTTTGTTTTGTTTTGTTTGTTTGTGTATACAATGTTAAATGTGGATAAAATAAATAAATAAATAGGAATCGATGTTTTCTGTTATTTTGTTTTGTTTTGTTTGCTATGTTGTAAAACCACAAAATTAATAATACCCAAAATAAAATGATTCGTAATGAATGAATTAAGATGATTGATTGATTGATGCCAACAACAACAACAACAACAACAAATTTTCTGTTGTGTTTTTCTGCAAACCAGAAAATTGTATTTGATTAATTTGCTGCTGATGTTTACCACCATGCCAATTCATTCATTCATTCATTCTTGTCATTCATTGATGATGAATACCCAGAAAAAATAAAATCAACCTGTTGCACACCATAAAAATAATGATTCTGTTCAATTTAAATAATGATGATGATGATGATGATGATGATGATGGAATGTATTTTGTGATGTTTATGTTTTTCTTCTCTATGTGTGTGTGAATGTGGAGGACAGAATATTCAATGAAAACAAACAAACAAACACACACACAAACACAATGGGAAAAAAACATGCAAATTCGTGTATGGATAGTAAATGGAAACAAACAAAAGAAGAATGAAAAAAAATCAAAATATGATGACTAGTAATAGTGGTAGTTGTAGTGAATGTGAATGTGAAAAGTTGATTAAATTTGATGAATTTTTGTTTAAAAATTTAAATTCTGTGTGTGTGTGTTGTTGTTGTATCAATGGAAATTTTGCCATAAATTATACCAAATCTTTGATGTTAAGTAAAATCATAATATTGCTCTATACTCTATTGTGATTGATTGATTGATTTTTATGTGTTTCGTTTGATTGTGTGGTGGATTGATGTTGAATGTTTTTGTTTTTGCAAATTTTCATTTTTGTTTTGTTTAGTTTTTTGTTTAAATATTCTTTTTTTTTCATTCTTTCCATGGCATTCTTTCCAAATCTGTATCTTCAATACTGTTAATGTTGTCACGATTGTTTTTGATTGATGGCATTTTATCATTCCATAATGGATCGGAACGTCTACCAAATCGAAGTCTAATGATGATTAGTGATTCAATTAGTTAGTAAGGGAGAAAAACAATTATGAAAAAAAAATCAATTAGAAAAATCTTACCTTAACGTTGGTGAACGGCCACCTTTACGTTCCATTTGATGTACAAACGGTGTTGGACTATCCTGTCGTAACCATATTTCATAAAGATCACGCAATTCTAAATTTTTTTACAAAGTTTATAAAGAAAATTTTTATTACTTTTTTTTGTTTTATCGTAATAAACACGTGAATTTATCAATAATTTAAACAGAAAAACAGAAAAATCAATCGATCAATAATTTATTGATTGATCAATGGAAAGAAAGAAGATTAACAAAAAAAAAATCGATAAAAAAATAATTCTTCTTCGTCGGAAAAAAAACAAGATTCAAAATGTTTATTTTTCGTTCGGTTCGGTTCTGATCAATAATCGATTGTTTTTAATCGAATTTGTTTTTTTTACTTTTTTCACTACCGAATACTATTGATATTAAACAACATGTAATAACAATAACAATAATCATTCAGGGAAGAAAAAAAGGTTGAAAACTCATAATATTTATCTATTTTTTTAACTATCATTATCTAACTATCATTGGTTTTTTTTGTTTAATGTGAAATTGGTTTATCATCATTATCATCATCATGTTTTGTGGTTGGTTCTTGGTTGTTGATCGGTTATTTTTTTGTTGTGGTTCAAGAAACAAGAAACAAAATCAAAAATTCAATAATGTTAATGCAATGTTCGTGAATGAATGATAATAATGATAATGTTGTTGATGATGATGATGATGTGAAGCATAGTAAGCAAGTATTCACTATTTCAGCTAGACACCCACATAGAAACCCGACACAAACAAAAACAAAAAAAAAATTCAATTTCAATTTCAATTTCAAAATCGATCCAACAAAAAAAAATCATTACATTTGCACTCTTGTAAGTGTGAGTATACTTGAGTTTCTTACTACATTTTTTTTTATTTCCACAAAAAATTCAAGCCAAATATTTTAGAAACTTCTTATTGAATATTTATGATATTGAATCTAATATGGGGATTCATTAAAATTGATGAATGAATGAATGGAATGAATGGATAACCTTTTTTTTATATATAAATAGATTTTTATAATTGGCTTCTGTAACCTATCTGGATGAATTGGACTGTTTGAAAGAAATTTTTCATTTTTTTTTTCATTGGAAAAAAAAGCCTAACATTATTTAATGAAAAACAAAAAAGTTTTTAAAAGTGAAGAAATTTTTTTTGAAAAAAAATTGATCTTCCCCCCTTCCAAAAAAAAAAAAAAAAAACATTTTCCATGGAATATTCGTTTTTCGAAAGTCGAAAAAAGGGATGAAAATTTTTTTTTCCCTGAAAAAAA